GACAGGACTTTGTGGAACCAATGAGGAAAAGTGTAGCAAAGAGGACTAGTGTAGTCCTCTTGCTGTGACCTTGAGTCCTTTGCTTTATCTCAGGAGAATCTAGCAGATGGAGAACACATCTCCCAGTCCTGGATGGGTTGAAGTAGGGAAAGTGTTCACTCCTTTAAAACATGGCATCTGGCTCACAGCGAGGAGTTGGCTCCATCCATCTTAAGCTACTCCTTCCTCTTAGTGTCTAAGCCAGGGTTTTAAGGTGGGACTTCAAAGATGCTCTTTGCTTTGGGTTTTATGCTGGTGGGTGCTGAGAATGAAGTGCACTTGCATGGTAGGCAAACTCTACGCTGAGCTTGAAAGTGTTCTGATGTCTGTTCTCAAGCACCAAAAGAGGACTATCTGCAAATCTACCTCGAGAAATGTATGCCTCACATCTATCTGTGGGAGACAGACAGCTGGGAAATCCCTCATGTTGTCTGACCTAGCCCCACCCTTTCTGGGGCTGAGCCGGTTCTGATAAAGGGTGCCTCTGCTTACACCATCCTTGGTGAGTGAAAGAGTCTGGCCTTGGCCCCTTCCTGCTCGAGCCAGGCCCCTACAGCCTGGGCTCCACTTCTCTCAGATTCTGGGTCCTGCACGGGCTCTTGGCATCCACAGATGTTCCACTCCTGCTGATTCCGGCCGCCCAGCCTAGGGTGGGGCGATGACTTCATGGCCTAACCTTCTCTTCGCCTCTCCCAGTACATGTGCTCAGTCTGGTTTTTAGGACCAGAGCACTCCTGGTTTGGGTGGAGCTTTCCCTTTCATGTTCTTGGGGACAGGTTTCCTCTCATTTTCCTGATGAATTTCTCAGGGAAACCCTTTTCCTGTGGTTCCAGCATTTTCTCCCTGCCAAGTCATCCTTCCCTTCTCCAGGAGGCTATGTAAGCATTTGAGAAGCCCCTGCAGATATCAGAGCCCCAAACAGTTTTCCAGGCTAGACAAGTATTTGTGTGAAATTACAGCTACTGAGATCAGTGCCTGAAAGCCTCTCCAGGGCTAAACAAAAGGAATGGAAAGCCCAAAATTGGGGATTGGCCACATGGCTTTCCTGAGCAGCACTTCAAGTGAGAGAGGCTTCCCAAGGCTACCCTTGCTCACAGCCCCAGCCTGCCCCACCCTGCTGCAGGGCATGCTGGGAACTGGGACTGACACTTGACTTCTTAAGGTAGCTGTTATATGAGCTCAGGGTAATTTAAGGTGGAACAGATAAGATGAGTAGAAAATGGCGAAAAGGAAACAGGTGAGTGACTTTGAGGGCATCAAGGCAAGACATCAACAACCTTTTGTGTTGTCTATAATATGTCTTGCTTCACTCACTCAGGTCCAAAAAAGCCCATATGGAGACTTTTTTGAGTACAGGATTCATGGGTTGGACTCTGACAGACCTGATGTCACCATCCCTGAGGACAGGAAAAAGACAGGACTAATTACCCCAGTCATAGGCCATGGGATCAGAGCTGGCTGGCTCAGAGGTACAGAGGAAGGCAACACATGGGCCTGCCCCATGATTCAGGAGGTATGGTGGCCAGCTACTCCATGTACTGGGGCTACAGGACATTCGCAGAGGCGACTCCTAACAAGTCCCAGCAAACCAGGACAAGTTGGTCACACTGGAGTGGAGCCTAGCTGCTCTCACACCCCAGCCCTCTCCAGGTGTCGGGTGGCAATCAGCTGCTTCCTATGTTGGATATAGACTCTCCCCCTTACTGGCTCAAGGAACTCCATCACCTCTCCAGGTCTTAGTTGGCTTATATGTCAAATGGGGTTATCAGTGGCTACCTCCTGTGATGTTTGAATGAGAAGGCTCGACTGGCCCATGTGGGACATAGTAATCAAATGTGAACAACTTTATTTATTACTCATTCATTCAGTTCATTCAGCAGATTTGTATGTGTACATCACACTACAAGTGGCTATAGGCCTGAGGAACAAAGACAAAAACTCTGCCCTTACAGAGGGGGAGAGATGAGCAAGAAATGACTAAATCCTTGGCACAGTAGGCGAGAAGACAATGGAGGGAAGCAGTAGATCAGGGTAAGGGAGACTGAGAGTGTCACGACTGTGGGCAGAGCAGCCTCACTCAGAAGGAGACACTTGGACAAAGACCCAAAGGACAGGAGGGGCAAGCCCTACCCTGGGAAGAGGAGATCTAGGCAGAGGAAGCAGCTCGTGCGGAGGCCTGATGTGGAAGCAGGTGTGGTACGTTCAGAGCAGAAGGAAGGCAAGCTGGGCTAGAACACCATGCACACAGTTATCAGGAGATCTGGAGGCCATCGTGAGGTCTTGCTGCCCAGTTCACTCTGAATACAAGCCACAGAGCATTTGAGGGGGTGACTGGTGTGCTTCCTTGGGTCTTCAAAAAGATCCTGCTGGCTATCGTTTGGGAATAGACTGAGAACAGAAGAGCATGGGTGGAAGAGAGAGACAAGAGAGCAGAAAGGGTGGGAGTCAGGTGATCATGAAGTTTTAATGTGAGCTGAGAGGGTAGGTGCTCTAAGATGGGATGCTTCCATTGCTCTCGTTGGGAATGGGTATTAGGCTGTTGGGATGTAGCTTAGTATCCGGTTTGCTGGTTTGCCCTCATAGTGGTCTACTGACCCCTGTTAAAGAAGGGATGGTCATCTCCCACTACACTGTGAATCCTGCTTCTTTGAAAAATATCCCAGCTAGATTAACAATTTATCAGAACTCCTATTCCCTCAAGTAAACCTGCTCCTCCAGCACAGTAATCCCACAGCTTTGGCACAGCCTTACCATTACTGGTCACCAGGGAGAAAGAACCAGCAAGGTCCTGCCCTCGGCTGCCCTGCCCCTGCCTGCCTGGGGATCCAGATGCCCTGCCCGAACTCTCTTTTCCCAGGCCCTTGCCTTCCTTTTCTACTGGGAACCTGACTTTGCAGGGCAGGCGGGGGAGGCAGTGAGCATCTGGGAAGCAGTTCAACTTGCTTCTAGGGCTTTGGCCAAACCCTGCTCCCCTGCTGAGCTCAGCTGTGCCATTTAGCTGGAGAGCAGGGTGAAGGCCAGGAGGCCCTAGATTATAGTCTCAGGCATCACCATCCAACCAGCTCCCTGCCTTCCCGTTAACACTAGCAAGTGAGAATGGTCTCCATGCCCTTAAATCCCTCAGTGCACAGTGTGGACACTGGATCATCCCCATCCACACTGCACCCCCGGGCCAGCTCCATGTCTTCGCTCGCAGACCCAGGAGTAGCTCCAGTTTTGTTTTTGATGGGAAATGAAGGTCATCGCAGACCCTGCAAACAGTACTCCCTTGTGTACCTATTTTCACATTTTCAACATCTTTTCCTGTCCTGATGTCTTCCTGAGATCTAACTCACGTTCTCCTCCTGCCATTGAAGGTCACATTGTTGAGTGCTATTGAGTGGAGAGGGGAAGAAGATGTTGGCCTTCATCCCATGCTCTGTTCCTTCCCACCAGTGGAAGAGCCCTTTCGTGTGGAAAAGACCTCTGGCACTGCTGCCTCCATTTTGGCCTTGCTCCTTCCAGGCATCTGCCTTTCCTTATTCTGTATCAAACCCAGTGGATCATCCCCTTCCCCTGGTTCTTACCATCCCCAGATGCTGACCTGTTTCAAAGACAAGGGTTGCCCCACCCTGCCTATGGGGAACCCATCAAACAAGCAGCCAACAGCTTCCAGTGCCAGCGCCAGGACTAATTTGCTGCAGAGTGTAAACAACTTGATGAATGCCAACTGGCATCAAATGCCACCTTAGGATTCGCCCCCACCTTAAAGAGGTCTGGGGGCCAGTAAAAAAGCCTAAATTCATAGGAAGGCACTCCGAATAATTCTGCCCATCTCTTTTCCCTCTGGGACTACACCTACAATGGATGTATGTGTGCTTGTGCGTGTGTGTTTGTGTGTGTGTGTAATATTTATGTGTGTGATGCCTTGAGTGTTGGGGGGGTGGAGTACAAGTGATGTGTGTGTGTGTGTGTGGTGTGTATGTATTCAGTGTGTGTTGTACGTGCAGGTATATAAGTATATTTGAGTGTTAGTGGAAAGGAAGCCAGTAATCAAGAACTGTGTAGCATCAGAAAACTTTGTAGTCTGGCCTTTCTTCTCTTTTCATTCAACCTCAGTAGCAGTACTTCTCTTAGTACCTACTTATAGGTGCACACTACGTAGCAGGTGTGTGAGACACGTAGGAGTGTGTGTGTGTGTATAAAGGGGATGGCCATAGGTTCCAGTCTCGAAGCCTCTGCTCCCTTGATCTTCTGCAGCTGCTGGAACTTGGAGTCAGGATGCATGTGTAGGCCCTGCCTCACCTTGCATGACCTTGAGCAGGCAGCTTGTTCTTCCTGGCCTTTGTGTATGAGCCGGTGGATGGAAGCTAACTCTGTATTCAAATCATCACCAACATTTATATGTCAACGTAAACGAAGAGTTTCATGTGCATCCCAAGATATAATTTAGAGTTTATTTTCTTAGAGCCAGAGCTTGGAGCACATTCCATGAGGAGCAGATGAGATTTTCTGTCTGGGATACATTTTCATGGTTACTAAGAGAAGTGAGTGGCTCCCATCTTCAAGCCAACTTGGTGCACTTTGTCTATTTTTGAGTAAAAGATTTTTTTACCCCAGAGTCCTAAGCAAATTGGGATGGTTGGCAACCCTAACTGAATCCCATAGTTACACAGATCAGGAAGAAAAGACTTTTTTAAAGAGTTTGGTTTTTTTGTATTGTTTTTTTTCAGTACTGGTTTGAACTCAGGGCCTTCACCTTGAGCCACTCCACCAGCCCTATTTTTGTGATGAGTTTTTGGAAAAAGGGTCTTGTGGAACTATTTGCCTGGGCTGGCTTCAAACTTCAATCCTCCTGATCTCTGCCTTCTGAGTAGCTAGGATTACAGGCGTGAGTCACCAGCTCCCACCTAAAGGGTCTTTTTAAAAGAGTTCTTTTAACTGCCTTCTGTAAATCCCTTTTATTCTCATTCATTTGTCAGGTCTATCTGGGAACCCTGCAGATCTGGAGAAACGTAGACTTGTGTTCGGACAGAATCTGATCCCTCCAAAAAAGCCCAAGACCTTCTTAGAGTTAGTGTGGGAAGCCCTTCAAGACGTCACGCTCATCATCCTGGAGATTGCAGCCATCATCTCCCTGGTCTTGTCCTTCTACCGCCCCCCTGGTGGAGATAATGAATGTGAGTGTCTGAACAGCTCAGTGTGACTCTGATCTGGGTTCTTCCCACTACCACCAAAGTGCACTTAGTATTGCTGGTTGACGGGTTACACATAAAACCTTCCAATTACCAGTGGGCTCTCCAGAGGAAGCCAACTAGCAGTTAGTAAACTATTCTTCTAACACATTCTATAGCAATACGTGCCCTGGGTTTCATCACCCTCCCCAATCCCCTTTCTCCCATCAAATACTTATTCAGATTGTCATGGGCCCTCTGCCCCCCAGTCATCAACGCCTTACTTCTCAAAGTATCCTCATGTCATCTGGCATTCTGGAAAACAGCAGTAAGAGTTGACCATGTTGTAACCATAAGTCCCTTTCATGTGACTTGCGTTGACATATTTTGTGCCAGTCATTTGCTTCTTGCAGATTAACGTAAACAGATCTAGTATCCTTGGAGGGTAGCTCTTCTACCTTAGAGCTTTATTTTCTACGCCTCTTCCCCTGACTTCTTATTTTGTGGAGGTCATGGAAGCACCATCCTCATTTCTTAATGTCAACAAAAGCCCCTCAGTGACTATTTCTCTCCCTCTCTTTCTCTCTCCTCCCGGATACTAGTGTGTGGTCAAGCTGTAAGTAACCCGGAAGAGTCAGAGGAGGGAGAAACTGGCTGGATCGAGGGGGCAGCCATCCTGGCCTCAGTGATCATCGTGGTGTTAGTGACTGCCTTCAATGACTGGAGTAAAGAGAAGCAATTCCGGGGACTACAGAGTCGCATCGAACAAGAGCAAAAATTCTCCATTATCCGGAATGGTCAGCTCATCCAGCTCCCTGTGGCCGAGATCGTGGTGGGTGATATCGCCCAGATCAAATACGGTGAGAGCTCCATATTCCTCGCACCTGTGCTACCCTCCTCTCACACACATTGGAGGAGTAGGTCCTTTGGCATGAGGGGACTGAGATCTGATGAAAATCCAGAAAAAGAATCCCCAGAATTGTGTTAGCTTTAGGTTAGCATTTAGGAGGTTGTAGGAAAATTTTCAAAGAAAACAGTAGCTGAAAATCTCCCATGATTTGTCAGACTTGTCCCTGTGTGTCTTAGAATTAAAAGTTTATAATATTCAGGCTGTGAAAAGGTGTTTGAGGGTCAGTAATAATTTGAGTATATAGTACCTTGAAGGAATCTTGTCCCCAGATCTTTGTTTTCTTTTTTTGGTGATGCTAGGAATCGAACCCAGGACTTTGTGCACTCTAGGAAAATAACTCTTCCAGGAAGCCACACCCAGCCATGTGGAATTATCTTTTGAAGGCCATTGCTCAAGAGCTGGGGCCCATGGGAGCAGCCCTAAGATGGAGTGGAGAAGCTGTTACCTACTCTTTTTCACTGTGTCCCTTCCCTTTTGTGTACTAGGTGACCTGCTTCCTGCAGATGGGATCCTGATCCAGGGGAATGATCTGAAGATTGATGAGAGTTCTCTGACAGGAGAATCAGACCATGTCAAGAAGACCCTGGAGAAAGACCCCATGTTGCTCTCAGGTATGGCCTCTGGCTGTCCAAGTTCACATTCTATCCCCACCCCATCCCTCCAGACAGCTGGACACAGCTGTTCTCTCTACTGGCTCCGTCCTATTTCTTCCCTTGGGAACAGCTGGGGCAGGAGCACATTGTGGGTTGAACACAAGGATATCAGGCAACCTGAGTCTAGGAGTCTTGGAGGAGCTCTGCCATTTGGGAGGGTGGCACAAAGTTAGAAACATTTTCCACTTAAGTGTGCTTGGTCTGTTTTAAATGGGCCCAGCTCTTGACTTTTTCTTTCTATCTGCTTTGTGTATCATTATCCACTGGGCAGGAGCTGAGGGTCATGGTTTTTTCTTTCAAGTTTGTGTTTCACAGCAAATCATGACAAGGAATAAAAAAAACAACACTCCTTCCCATCTTCTTTCACATTATAGGGACCCATGTGATGGAAGGTTCTGGCCGGATGGTAGTGACTGCTGTGGGGGTCAACTCCCAGACAGGGATCATCTTTACTCTCTTAGGAGCCAGTGAGGAAGAGGAGGAGGAGAAGAAGAAGAAAGGTAAGGGACATTTGGAATGAGGTTGTCTTTCCTCTCATCCCCGTGGATGAACTAGAAGCAAGGAAGTAGATCCAGATGGAAAGTCTGATTGAAAAAATGTGCTGGAATGAAGAGGCAGGTACCCAGACTCCTTGCTGAAATATACATGTAAACCTTGGGTGCTGATGGAGACCAGATCTTGCCTCAAGCTCCCAAATCAGGTTGCATTTAAGCCTAATTCTTATGTCTTTGGTGGGCTGCAAAGAGTTAACTCTGCCCAACATGAGCTGGTAGGTGCTCTAGTCAAAGTGCCCTCTGTCTGCTCTTCCTCCTCCTCCCCTACACTCTTCCTCATAAACAGGGGAGTAAATGAACCATCATAGCTAAGAGGAAACTGACCCAAAGAAGAAAATGGGCTGAAACTATCGGCTCTCAGTGGAAGAGGGACACAGCTGGAAGAGTAGAAACAGAGAGGTAGTGTCCACCCTAAAGTTAGTCTAGTCTTTGCCATTTACTTATTCCTGAAATCAGAATGATAGCAGAAAGAGAGAGTTACTGAAATTGAATCTACACCTTTTTCTGAGCATTCCTTCTTCCCTTGGGAGAGAGGAGAATTGCTACCACTTGGGCAGAGGATCATCTTGGGCTGTTTAGTGGACAAACACATTCTCTTGGAGGTAGCCTATTCATTGCCACAGCTGCCTACAGACAAATAAGGAGGACATTTGTCTGGTGTTGAACTGACATGGAGATACCTTATAGGGCCTTTGCCGTTGGGCAGAAAACAGTTCCTACCTCTTGCTCCCTAACCTCCACCCATTTTTTCCAAGAGGTGTGACTCTGGCCAGGAGCATCCTCCCTCCAGGCAGCAGCCACGCTCCAAGAGAAAGCAGCTCAGGTGCGAATTTGCACGCACTCATGTGAGCGCTCTTCCCCGGATCCCAAGGATTCACTAGAGCCTCTCGGAAGATGTGAGCTTCCTTTACGTTTATTTCCCTGCCCTGCAACCCACCTCCTTCACTGACGCTCTTCTGGGCTCAGAACAGGACCAACAAATTGGATATCTGATCTCTTAATAGTCACTTTGGGTATCCACCCCACTTTTTCTTTCTTGTTCAAACAGGTAAAAAACAAGGAGTCTCTGAAAATCGCAACAAAGGTAACTTCTCCACCCACTCATTTACCATCTCTACCTGCCCACGCTCAAATCAGACCTTTCCAGGCCATCTGCCTTTCCCCCTTCCCTCTCCATAATCTGTTATCTGCTGCCTCACATGCATCATCCTGAGGAAGGTGCAGAGATCTGATCTGGGGGTGGGCTTAAGGGCCCAGTCCCAATCTAACATGGACAGCAGCACCCTCTGCTGTTGGCTCACAGAAGTTCACGTTCGTGTTTCTCTTGGGTGTATGGGATTGATCTGCTCTTCCCAGGATGCTAAACTCTGCTTCGTTGCCCACGGTCATCGGTTTCTGGGTTGGAAGTCTTTGCAGTCCTTACAGTGGAGGGCTTTGGGCTAGGCAGTCCCTGCACCCTCCTCTTGCTAACCACCTCATCCTCTTCTGGTCTGGATTCCTTCTGCACTAATCGCCCAGGATTGCTTGGAGAGAGCTCTTTTTCCCTCTCTGCCCACCCTTTCTTTCTTTGTTCTTGCCACAGTCGGTTTTGTTCCTCCTGATCTGGTGTGTGTTTCTCTTTTAGTGGCTGTGTTTACATCCGTCTCTGTCTTGTTTGTGTGTCTGAAGGCAGAGGCAATATTTCAGGAAGAACATCCTAAATCAGGGGTAAAGTTGGTGGGGTGTTGGAAACCAGAGTAAAGAGCTCTCTTGGGAAAGCGTCTAGAGATTTTTTTCCCTTGTTACCCACATCACAGTAGTCTTTAGAAATAAAGTCACCATGTCAGAAAACCAAGGCAAAACAGAAAAAAGTCTTTAATTTTAGATTTCTTTAATTCTTCTTCTACAAGCTAAATGGATTTACATATCTGTCTTTATTCCTGCTTTCTCTTATTCCAGGGGATCCCTTTATATTAGGTTCTTTCCTCCTCCCACTCCACCCAGGTCCCACTCTGTACTTCCCCACCTTTTCAGGCAGGGGAGAATGGGGATTTCTTTCCCAGTCCTTCAATTTATATAAGAAAAAACTGGGAAATATCTTAAGTCGGGGGAGGGAGGGGGGGGCGTGTTCCTTCCCTAAGAGTCTGCAGAGGGAGAGAGAGAGAGAGAGAGAGAGAGAGAGAAAGAGAAAGAGAGAGAATAGGGAAAGTGCTAAACCTTTTAACAGAACAGGCTAGGACCCTTGTGTTCTAGAAACTTCTGCCAGCCTTCCCCCTTTAGTCCCTTTCTGCAGTAAACATTCACTATTTTAAGCACTAAATTCCAGGAAGGATGGCTATTGGTAATAGCGCTCAGTGGCATGATTAATCTTGCTGGAATAAACCTGGCCTGAGGCTGTGAGGTGGTGCCAGGAAGCTGCCACTGAAGAGCAAATCCAGACCCTAAAAGTGCCCCCATTTCATTTCTAGAAGCTAAACTGTCGTTCCAAAGGCCCTGATGGAGGGTTGAAGGCAAGTCCCATATCTGGCATGGGGTGAGAAAGGTCAAAGTACATTCTAAGAGACAGAAGGGGGATTTTTGTTTGTTTTTTGGTTTCCATCAGCCTGCCATCTTGCCTGCTCACTTCCCTTGTTTGTGTGTACACCCTAGCAAAGACCCAGGATGGAGTGGCCTTGGAAATCCAGCCACTCAACAGCCAGGAGGGGGCTGACAATGAGGAAAAGGAGAAGAAGGTAACCAAGGTGCCCAAGAAGGAGAAGTCAGTGCTGCAGGGCAAGCTGACACGCTTGGCCGTACAGATCGGGAAAGCTGGTGAGTCATGTCTAGCCTGATTGTCACTGTTGATTTCCACCACTACTCCTCGTGCCACCACTTCCATCTCCTTCCTTGTGCACCAGCCAGGACTGGCAGTAGGAAGGTGAAGCTTCTGAGTGGCGGCTAATCAGGCCTGGCTGGCTATGTCCCTGTCTCTGCCACCATCAGGCCATTCTCTGGTTCTTTCACAGAGAAATGTTTTCCTGTATGTAAGGGTTCACAGCCCAGAGGTCATTTTTATCCAAGCAAATGGGTAACTCTCACAACGGGGAGAGTTACCTTAGCAAGAAGGAACACTTGGAGAATTCTTACCTGCTTCAGATGTTGGCTTGTAAATTCTTTAAGGACAGAGGAGGCTGCAATTTGCTGGAGACAGTTTCCTTGCATAGTGGAAGCTGATGGCCTCACAGAGCAAGGAGTGTGTGGCACAGATGGAGGGGAAGTCAGTGGCTAGAGAGATGCTTTCCTGAGGAAGGGTCTTTAAGCACAATCCTGTGCATAGAAGACATGGCTTCTCCATCGCTCACCTTTCCGCACTCCTCTCTCCCCACCTTCTTTCAGTGGCAGGTGGCAGGGAGAGGGAACAAGTTATGATCTGTGCCACTGAATATTTTCTGACCCCACCCTTCTATTTGCCACCATCATACTTGGCATAGCTCTGTGTGTGCAGCTCACCCAGGGTCCTTTAAGTGGAGATTCAGCTCAGCAGGTCTGCACGAGACCTGAGACTGCATGTTCCTAACACTGCCAGGCAGTGCTAGTGCTGCTGGTCTGCCAAGCAAGGGTCTGTGCTGCCTGCTACAGCAGCCACTAACCACATGTGGCTATTTTCATCTAAGTTACTTAAAATTAAATAGTTAGAAAGTCACCTCCTCGGTCACATTGGCCACATTTTGAATGGTCAATAGCTGTGTGTGACCAGTGGCTACTGTATTGGACATCATCAGTAGAGAACATTTTAAGCAACAGAGAAAGTTCTATGTAAGTGCATTGGACTGGCCTATTCATTCCAGCTAATTTTCCTTGAAGTCTCTTGCATATAAAGTCTGGATGAGATGAACTGCAGGCACAAAAGCAAGCTATTGAGCCTGATGCATAGATTGAAGCATTAAATGGATTCACCTAACTCTGTTGTTCTCTTCATCCCTGCCTCAATCTTTGGGGTACAAGCTACCTGGATACTGGCCACTGTCTCCTCTGTTGTTCTGTTTCACAAATCAAGCCAGGCCAGGACTTGGGCAAAGCAAACAAGAGTGAGCATCTTCCTAAATTTTATACTATAGGCACATCACTTCCTTACCACCTTAGTCCTGGCTCTAATCAAGTGAGGTACAAACAAGTATGCTTTCATTGAGATCCTCACCCCTAGCCTTGCTTTGAGACCCCTGAATCATCAGACTCTCAGGAAGAGCCAAGGCCCAAACCAATCTATGGTTTCAAGAAGAGCTTTCCCCACATGCTATGCCACAAATAGGTACAGATGTGCCCACATAGTCAGCCCTCAGGATAGCCCATTGTTTTTTGACCTTGAAAAAATTCTTCCATTTACTTCAACGTATAAGTTAACCAACTATCCCTGTTGGCTCGGAACTTTCTTAATTTTAGCACTGAAAGTCTCACATTCCAGGGAATTATTCAGTCTCAGGCAAACCAGGATGATTGGTTACCCTGCCATTGTGCCACACCAGAAGTCTCTCTGTGCCTTAATTTTCTCATCTTTGAAAAGGACATGGTGGAGCTGGGGGTGTAGCTCATTGGTACTGCACTTGCCTGCCATGCAAAGGCCCTGGGTTTGATCCCTCCACGGCAGGAAGAAAAGGGGCAGATCATAACAGTAACCTATCTGACAGAGTTGTTGTAAAGTGGTTGTGAAGGACTCTCCAGGCCCACTGTAGCCACTATATAAATTTTTTCCTATTGTTGTCATTTTTTATGTGTGCCATAATAGGAGAGAGTTGAGAAGCACTCTTCTAAGGGTTAGTCATTTAGGTGATGTGCTAGCACCTTAGGGGCCTCACTGTCACTTAGTTGTGAGGTGTGAGAAGTCAAAATCAATAAGCTAGTAGTAAGTAGACAAAAACAGTGGCTACATTGTGAGTGGTGGAATGAAATCTTAGAATGCTATTTCTGAAAGCAGGCCAAGTCTACAGCCGTATCACCCTGAATGCGCCCAATCTTGTCTGAAAGCAGTCCAACCCTCTTCTATGTGAATAAGGACTTTGATCTAGGAAATGGACCCAGTGAAGGTCAATGACTAGTCCAAAGTCATGAATCAGGTTAGTGCAGTGATTAGAAGTTGTGTCTTTGGAACCACTGTATTTAGAACTACCTCTTTTCTCTTATACCATAGTGTAAAGCAACAGAGAATAGATAGACGATTTTAGCATGACTCCCTGAAGCTGGTGGTTTAAAAAATACTTAGGAGACACTACAACTTACGCTAGTCCATTTCTGACTAGAGCCCTAGGAATGCCCTTGAGCCTGGGTTCACCTGCCTTATTTCCCTGGACAGGTCTGATCATGTCCGCTATCACAGTTGTCATCCTGATTGTATACTTTGTGGTTGACAACTTCGTGATACAGCGCAGGCCGTGGCTACCTGAGTGTACTCCTGTCTACATCCAGTACTTTGTCAAATTCTTCATCATCGGCGTCACTGTACTGGTGGTAGCTGTGCCAGAGGGGCTGCCACTGGCTGTCACCATCTCATTGGCTTACTCTGTGAAGGTGAGACTAAACCAATTCTGCTTCTTACTTGAGGACAGATGGGAGGGAAGGGTACCATGCAGCCTTTGGTGAAAGGATAAACTCTTTTGTTCTCTACAAACTTTGGGTGATGCATCACAAACGCAGAAGTCCCTACTACTGGGGAAGGACCATCTCAGATTTTATTTATCTATTTTTGCATCGGTGTTTAAATAAACCAGTAAACCCTTAGGAGATCAACAAAAATAGTATCTTGCATTTTTGTGTGGGATTAGAAAAGGAATTAGAAAGGAAGAAAGGAGGAGATGTTGGCTAGGACATGGCCTTTGACCTATGTTTGGGAGAACCCAGTTGGTCCTTTCTCAAGTCCTGTCTCTTTTCTTTTATAGAAAATGATGAAAGACAATAATCTGGTACGGCACTTGGACGCTTGTGAGACAATGGGCAATGCCACAGCCATTTGCTCTGATAAGACGGGCACGTTAACCATGAACCGCATGACAGTGGTACAAGCTTATTTTGGGGACACCCACTATCGTCAGATCCCAAGCCCTGATGTCTTCCAGCCTAGGGTCCTGGACCTTCTTGTCAATGGCATTTCTATCAACAGTGCTTATACATCCAAGATTCTGGTAAGTGCCTCCGCACCTGGAGTGGGTAGTTCGAAGGGAACATTAATTTTTTCTAAGACAGGTTCCTTATTGTTCGTTCTTCCTAAATTGCCATCCTACATCCCATTTCTCACTTGTGATTGAGCATGTTTGGGGTGGGACTGAGGAATAATCCATGGGAGTAGATGGAAGGATGGGGAAGAGGGCCTATAGGAATCAGTGGCCATGAAATGCCCTCCAATTACCATGGAAAGGCAGTATCTTGAAGGAGGAACCTCAAGCTCTTAGCAGACTTGGGCTTATCTGGAGTAAATTGCTCACATTCCACAAAGAAAGAGTATTAGAATAAGAGCCACCCAGGATGAGACACCTCCACTACCATTACTAGAGCAAACTATAAATTCCCTAACCTGGATAGCTCTGGAATCAAGATCATCACTGTCTGCTTACCCTTGAAAAAACAAAAACAAATGTGGCCTCCTGGATGAGCTTTTGGTATGTCTGTGTAATTTACCTTCCTAAATTCTCTCTCTGCTCAAGGTATCTTAGTCACTAGGACCATGCGTATTTTTGTCTCTCAGCCTCCAGAGAAGGAGGGAGGTCTCCCACGGCAGGTGGGCAACAAGACGGAGTGTGCCCTGCTGGGCTTTGTCACAGACCTGAAGCAGGATTACCAGGCAGTGCGCCATGAAGTGCCTGAGGAGAAGCTCTACAAGGTTTACACCTTCAATTCAGTGCGCAAGTCCATGAGCACCGTCATCGAAAAACCCGGTGGGGGCTTCCGCATGTTCAGCAAGGGCGCCTCAGAGATCATTTTGCGCAAGTGAGTACCATTCCCCTCATATTCCCCTTCCCTTGGAGACTGTCCCCTCAGGAAGGCCTAGGTGACATCCCCATGTTGAACCAGTCTGAATGATGAGTGGCCCCTCCAGCCAGGCAGTGCCGTCTGACTAACATCTGAGCTTTTGCCCAGATCAAGCATTGTTTTTGAGGACTTCAGGTGATTTTCTCTTTATGTAATCATCACAACTCAGTGGGGTGGGTGCTATTATTTCCCCAGTTTTATAGATGAGAAAACAGAGGTCCAGGGCAGTAACTTGCTCCAGGAGATACAGCCAATAGTGGCACAGCCAGAATTCAGACCCAGGCAACCTAAGTTTCTATTACTAATCTGAAAACAGAAATGGCCAGAGTAAGACCCATCTCACCATGGTTAAATAACTCAATGAGCATGAGACACACTGCACATATTAAGTACTAGCAATATAGTTCTGTGCTCCCTTTTATTTTCCATTCTCAGCTCTAATTACAGGGCATTTGCAAAGCTTAAAAAGTGACTAGGATATAGGTCATTGAAAGTTGACCCAACTTGGGTATAGGGTCAGTAAAGCTGAATTAACCAGCGCCTCAACTTGGCTGTAGCCCCCTTTCAGTCAACACGCTCTTGTTTAGCAACTGTGCGTTATTCGAGATTGAGAAAGTCTCTACTTTGAAGAAGTTCACAGTAGCAGGCCTCTACCAGTGCCTCGGCATTGCATTCACATGTGAGTGAGAACAAGGGGCATTGCAGAATCATATTCCCTGCCCACCTGCACCTTACCCAGTCCATCGGCCTCCCCACCTTGGAAAGAGGGACTCAGCTGGGTGATGGATAAAGGCGATACTTGACCAAGGAATGCTGTTGTTAGGAATGGTGCAGTTGCCAGAATGTCTAGAAAGGACTGTGAAAAAAAGACACATTGAGTGAGAAGGGGGGACGACACTGCTTTCTGACTGTTTGCTTCCCCCAGGTGTAATCGAATCCTGGACAAGGAAGGGAAAGCAGTGCCATTCAAGAGTGTGGACCGAGACACTATTGTGCACACTGTCATTGAGCCCATGGCCTGCGAGGGACTCCGGACTATCTGCATAGCTTACCGGGATTTTGATGACGCAGAGCCCATATGGGAAAATGAGAATGAGATCCTCACTGAGCTGACCTGTATCGCCGTAGTGGGCATTGAGGACCCTGTGCGCCCAGAGGTGAGGCTTTGACTCAGAGAAAGGGCAAGAAAACATGAGCCACAGTCCCCCAATGACTGCAGGCCCAAGCACTTGCCCAGTGTGGCCTAATAAGAAGCCCCCCAGAATCAGAGGGAGTGGAAGTTGGTTCCTAATCTATTTGTGACCCCAAGCAAGTTGCTTAGCCACCTCTTACTTGCAGAGATAGGTGTTTCTGTGCCTCCTGCTTTCCATACCTGTGGAGCGCAAAGGTGGCATTCCAGGAGTTAGTGCTGTCTGAGTGGTAGGAAGCAGGTTTTATTGGGCCTATTATTTGGTATCCAGGAGGCAAAATGAACCAGGACACCAGCGTTAGCCACCTTTTTATCAATTGGTGTATTTTCTGTTCACATTCATCCCTGTATGCGGAACACTATTCTAGATACAAAGGGTATTGAAACGTCCTTGCTTCGAAGCAGTGCAGTTGTCATGGCTGAGGCTGGTGGCAGGGGTGTCCTGCATTTGGTAGACTACAGAGAGCTGATAAGATTGGGGACTGGCCCAGGTGGGCAAAGTGGTCTGAGATTCTGCTAGGAAAGACGGTGGTAGCCATGGGCCCAGATGCTGTCCACATCCTGCCAAGGAGCCAGGAGGAGAAGAGAAGCACAGGTGTTCACACCTGGCTCTTGAAGCGTTATTTCCCTTCAACTCATGGCCAGTAAGTGAGATTCAGATGTGACTATTGTAGGATTGGGCAGAAATGAGGTGCATTGAGCACTCACTCATACCAAAATTACTAGACGTAGCCCTTGGCCCAGCTTGTAGAGTACCTCTCTCCTGTCCACAGTGAAGAGAAGCTGAACAGCGAATGGTATTGCCATGCCCATGTCCACCTTTTCTTCTTTCTTCACTCTCCACAGGTACCAGATGCTATTGTCAAATGCAAACGAGCTGGTATTACTGTCAGAATGGTGACCGGCGATAATGTCAACACAGCCCGGGCTATTGCCACCAAATGTGGCATTCTGACACCTGGAGATGACTTCTTGTGCTTAGAAGGCAAAGAATTCAACAGACTTATCCGCGATGAGAAAGGAGAGGTGGGTCCTGGGTGGGAGGAACCAAAGCCTCACTTGACCAGGGCAGGGCCTGTTCTAGTGTATGATATTTGGGGTACATGGGAGCAGGTAGGTGGCTTCTAAATGGAAATCTATTCATAGTGAGACATCCCTAGCTACCAAAGCCATGCAAATGGCAAAATGGGAAGTTGTCTGTCTTGTCATTATCTCCATTCACAAGTTACCTTTTAAGAGAGAATAGCTAATGTTTCATGTCTGTCTGTCTTTCCAGTCATGGGATGATTTTGTACTGATTTCCCCTACCCCACCCCTTCCTATGTCGCTGCTCGGTGGCTGCTGGTGGCTCAGGTTTGTAATAGGATGTGGTGTGAGTACAGCATACACTAAAGCTTCCTGGTCTACAGAGAAATCAAACCTAAGATCTCGGAAGCACCACACTAGCCATCTGAGCCAGCTGTTTAACTCTGGCCTGCCTCCTATCAAGGATCTAAGAACTCAAAATTGACATCCAGGCAGGAAAATGGGAGGAAAAAAAAAGAGAAGTGAGGCCTGAGTGGTCACCATCAATGACTCAACCCTTGGAGACCGAGATGGCTCTTTCACCTCCATGGAGACCAGCATAAGGCTCCTTACAGGGCCGTGGGGCTCCAGCACTCCCAGAAGCTTGGCTTGAAAGAAGAAGTGAGATTTCCCTGAATAGCTGATCTGAGTTTGACTGATCCACGTGTGGTCTGGTGTTGGCAGGTAGAACAAGAAAAGCTGGACAAGATCTGGCCCAAGCTTCGGGTGCTGGCGCGGTCTTCTCCCACAGACAAGCACACGCTGGTGAAAGGTGAGGTTGACTCCTGAGCAGGCACTTACCATAGAGAAGGGCAGGCCAGGGTGGGGACAGGTAAGAGTCTCTAGCCAAAGCAACCCTCCTGCCCTGAATAAGGAGATCTTAGGAGCACTCCCAGGCTAGTGGGGAGAACGTTCATTTTAGCATATGTCTGCGTCCTTGGTAAGTATGGCAGATAACAGAGCTGGGTTTTTTAAACATTCTGCATCTTATTTGGCAGTAGTAGTGTGAACTAGTCATGGCTGGTAAAACCATTCTCATTTTGTCAGTGAGGAAATTGGAGGCCAAAAAGACAAGTAACTTCCCAAATTGCCCAGCTGCTAAGCCAAGGTGGTGCAGATGACCTCTGGAAGTCTGTCTTCGAATCCATCTGGTGCTTTTTGCACCACATAGTAGCTACCTTACGGCCCTAGGTGAGGACTAACTTTCTTAGCTTGGAGTGCTACCAGTGAAGCAATTACTGCCCCTGGGTAGTTCCTATAGATACTTCGTCATAGGGAAAGTGAAGGAAAGAAGAGAGTGGAAGCAGGGGGGTGTAGTGAATCAGGGAGTTGACTATAAGCCCTTTCATTGACAACAGAGTCTTTGAGCAATGGTCTCCATTGACACACGCCTGCTCACTGTGGTGCATATCTGTTTTTCTCAGGCATCATTGACAGCACTGTTGGGGAACAGCGGCAGGTGGTGGCTGTCACTGGTGATGGCACAAATGATGGGCCCGCTCTAAAGAAAGCAGACGTTGGTTTTGCCATGGTAAGCTCATTGCAGTATTTCTCCCTGTGTGCAAGCTGTCTTTTCCACTGGAACCCAGACAGACTTCTGGCTCCTGCTGCTTCCTGTGCCTTCATATCCCATGGTATACTCTTTCTGGAGCTCCATGTCTCCTACATATTTGGTCAGTAGTAATATGTGTGATGAGGGACCCATCAAGTATGAAAAATAGGTGACAGGCAGAGAAATCACAAAACACCTTACCAAAAAGCTTGACTGTAGCATGATGATGTCTTCTGCCTGGGAGAATTATAGGAAATGTGTTAGCCTTGCTCAGTATTCAAAGTTGAGCATTTTGATTCAGAAGGGTCTGAGGTGGCTACTGAAAGTTGTTTGTTTTTTGGGTTTTTTGGCTTTTTGGGGTTTTTTTTTTTTTTGGCACTGATGTTTGAAGGGCCTTGTGCTTGCTAGGTAGGTGCTCTACCACTTGAGTCACTCTGCCAGTCCTTGTTTGTTTTTTTTGTTTGTTTGTTTGTTTTTTAAGCAAGCACACAAGCTGATTCCAATGTCCAGGTTTAGAAGCTCCCAGGCTAGAAAATGTGTTCCTCACATTCAAATACCTCATAATTGTAAGCCCCCCACATAAATACTGTTGGTGGGTTTTAAGCATTTAGAGGGACTTCATGAAGTAACCTATCTTTAGGGAGCTCTCTTTTAAAAACCAAAGTTTTAATTCTAGGAAACGTTAAGGATATGCAGAACTAGGGAGAATCATATAATGAATTCCCACGTACCTATCACTCAGGTTCAACAATTATTGACATTTGACCCCTTTGTTTCATTGATCGCCCACTCACCACCAACTCCAGCTGAAGTGTTTTGAAGCAAATCAAAGACATTGTCATTTCATCCATATATATGTATATATATATGTATGCATATATATATATATATATATATATATATATATATACACACACACACACCGCAGTACTGGAGATCGAGCTTGGGGCCTCATACTTGCTAGCCAAGTGTTCTACCACTTGAGTCATGCCCCCAGTGCTCATCCATAAAAATATGAATTTTTTTATAACTCTGAATGATAAGTATGTGTTGATAAAATACACCTAAAAAATCCTAAAACCATTTGCTCACAACAAAATTGATGATTCCTTACTATCATCAAATTTCTGCTGCGCATCCATATTTCCCAACTGACTCATTGATGTGTTTTCTTGCTTTATTTGTCCAAATAAGATCCATACATTGTGATGCACAATCTCTTAAATTTCTTATTTTATTAGTGCATATTGTACAAAGGGATTTCCTTGTGATATTTCCATATATGCATATAACTTTGTTTAGGTGATAGTGGGATTTGAACTCAGGACCACGAGTTTGCTAGGCAGATGCTCTACCTCTTGAGCTACACCCCTAGATTAAGTCTGTGTCTCTCTATCTGTCTATCTATCTCTCAGTACTGAGGTTTGTATTCAGGGCCTTGTACACTCTCCCACTTGAGCCATGCTCCCAGCCCTCAATTTCAGTCTCGTCATCTTTAGCAGTGGCTCTTCAAATGTGCTCCTCCTTCCAGCTGCACCAGCAGTACCTGAATCTGAAGTGCAGATTCTCAGGTGCTACCCCAGGTCTCCTGAATCAGAAATCTGGAGTTGGGACCCAGCAATCTGTTTTACAAGCCCTCTCAGTGATTCTGATACACCCTACTGTTTGAGAACCACCAATCTCTTGACATTCCTGAATCAGGGGTCCCAAAGACATCCTTATAGTTATGGATTTAACTAGACGGACTGACAGAACTCAGCATATAGTTGTACTCATGGCAAAGATTTCTTACAGTGGCAAGGATGCAGTTGGGTCACAAGAGAAAAGGGCATGGTAAAATCTGTATGCTCCACTTGCATCTTCCTGTGCTCTCCCTCCCACAAGGAGCTACAGAGTCCATTCTTCTCCCTTTACAAAACACAGCAGTCCATATGTGATGTGCTGTCCAGGGAAGCCCATCACAGGCTCAGCACCCGTGGCTTTTACTAGGGCTGGGCTTACAGGCCAACCTTCTGCCTAACACATACCAAGTATCCCAGAAGGAAGCAGGTGCCCCATATAAACCAGATTGTTTGGGCACAGTCTAGACACAGTGCTCTACCCTTATCAGCTAATTGCTGACCAGGAGTGTTTGGGAGCTAAGCTCCCAGGCCCCAGCCAAAGCCGGCCTTGCAAGCAGACCTTTCTAAGGATAGCAGTCTCAGACCTGTAACTCTGTTCTGCACAATTCCCTTCCATCTTTTTTCTTGTGTCATTTTGAAGAAAGTGGATTGCTCATCTGCACAGACTATCCTACAGTATGAATTTTGCTGATTGTAGCTCTATGGAGTCCTTTAATGTGTTGTTTTGTCCCTTGTTTTGGAGGGTTTAAACTGAGGGCTTTGAGCTTGCTAGGCAAGCTCTCTGTACCACCACACATGGCTTCAATGTTTGTCTTAAAGATAAAACTTTATGAATTTATATTACTATTTCCCACTCAAATTTTAAAATCATAGAATTCTAACTTCCTAATTGTATTTAGCTTCTCTGATTTTATATTTGTATCTCTTAAGTTAAAAATGTTATTCCCAATGTCATTAACATAATTATTAATTTGCTTTATCTTATATATAATAATTTTAAGATAACAATAATATAACTACTGAAAACAGTTAAATATTTTTATACTTCATAGGAATGTATCATTAAATTACTAAAAGTATATTTTTAATTAAAAAATGATACAGCTGAGCACCAGTGACTCACCCCTGTAATCCTAGCTTCTCAGGAAGCAGAGATCAGGAGGATCGTGAGGATCGCGGGGATCGCGGTTCAAAGCCATCGTGGGCAAATAGTTCTGCAAAACCCTATCTTGAAAAAACCCTTCACAAAAATAGGGCTGGTGGAGTGGCTCCAACACCAGGCTTCAAGGTGAAGGTCCTGAGTGAAAGCCCCAGTACCACAAAAAGGAAAATACAAATTGCTAAAAGATCACTTGAGCCATTTTTCTTTTGTGCAGATCACAAAAGAGCTACCAGTTAACTACAGAAGTTCATTTATTTATATCACATTCTTTTCCATTTTAGAGATTGCCTTTTAAATCTAATTTTGTTTTCTATTTGTATAAAATAATTTGCTCTCAAGCCAAATATACAAAGCAAGGTGTAGTCATGGAAATCCGGCTTCGCCCTGTTGCTATCTTTCAGGTAACTTTTTTTCTTAAGTTTTGGTCTATTTTCTTGTTTCTTTAGATAATAATCAGGGCAGGCACCAGTGGCTCACACCTGTAATCCTAGCTACTTGGGAGGCTGAGATTGGGAGGATCATGGTTCAAGACCAGCTCAGGCAAATAGTTTTCAAGACCCTATCTTCCAAAATAACCACAGCGAAATGAACTGGAGGCATAGCTCAAGTGGTAGAGTTCCTGCTCTGCAAGTGTGAAGCCCTGAGTTCAAATCCCAGTCCCACCAAAAAAAATTTTTAAAAAAAAGCAGGTAGTAAAATGAATCAGGGTCCCCTTTGATAAACAAGAAATCTTAACTCTTTTGAAAGCACAGCCTTCATCCATTGACATGTTCATTCAGAAACCTTTCATAGTTCCCCAGTGACAAGATTTTGAATAAGGATAGAACATCTGACGTATGCTACCAGACTGGTTGTTCTTCCTACAACAAAATGTAGGGCTTTAAAAAAAATCATTTTATTTTTAATAATACAAGGGGATTTCATTGTGACAATTCTATATGTGCATACTGTGTACTTTGAACAAGTTTACCCCTCCACTCTATTCCCTTTCCCCTATTGTAGGGCTTCTTAAAGTTGTAGGGGAGATATGAATTTAAGTTAGATAGCAATAATACCAAAGAAATGTATACATTTAGAGGTAGAATAGGTGGGACTTGTCCATACCTCTTAGTTTCTAAGCAGGGCAGGGAGAAAGGGCTAATCAAAGATGACTAATTTCACATCTGGGTGCAGGAGTCCAGCATTGGCATTAAGCTCTCTAGCCTTCTTTTCTGTAAAGTGACAGTAAACATGGTTTCCCTTGGTTTTCTAGCCTTCTTTTCTGTAAAGTGACAGTAACATGGTTTCCCTTGGTTTTCTTGTGTGTGGCTAGTATGCCCTCTAGTGTCTGCACCTGTTTCTGAAGCTTCTTGGAGGTAAGGAAATGGAGCCCAAGTGTAGACAAGCTCTGCTCTGTCCAGCTCCTCACTGTCTTCCCTCCCCATCTCACCTCAGGGTATTGCAGGCACAGACGTCGCAAAGGAGGCATCAGACATTATCCTAACAGATGACAACTTCACCAGCATCGTGAAGGCAGTGATGTGGGGACGGAACGTCTATGACAGCATCTCCAAGTTCCTGCAGTTCCAGCTCACTGTCAATGTAGTCGCTGTGATAGTGGCCTTCACCGGAGCCTGTATCACTCAGGTGAGGGGGGGTTGGCTAGGCTGAGATGAGAGGGGCAAGACAGGGGCTGAGGAATACAGGACAGGAGATGCAGCGTGTCTACTGAGGAGTAAGGAAAGGGTTCCCCAGTAACCTTGGCTCACCTTTGTGAGATCCACTGCGTCCATCTGCTTCTATGGAATGCTAATAACTCACCTATTTAAATAGGTTACTAATAGCACTTACATGTGTCATCTCCATTCTTCAAAGCCTGCAAGGTAGGCATTTCTATCCCCATATTACAGGTGAGGAGCCCATGGCTCAAAGAGGTTAAGTAACTTTCTCAGGGTCACTCAGCCAGTAGGTGGCCAGATTCAGAATCTAGGTGGATAACAGGAACAAGGCCAAGTTGAAGGAAAGATGGGGTTGGTGAGTGAGGCAGGGCTGGTTTCTGAGGAAAGCTAAGAGGACTGGTTCTTCTCCCCACCAGGATTCACCACTGAAAGCCGTGCAGATGTTGTGGGTTAATCTGATCATGGACACCTTTGCTTCACTGGCCCTGGCTACTGAGCCCCCTACGGATTCTCTGTTGAAGCGCCGCCCGTATGGCCGAAATAAGCCTCTAATCTCCCGTACTATGATGAAGAACATCTTGGGCCATGCAGTCTATCAGCTCACTGTCGTTTTTCTCCTAGTCTTTGTTGGTGAGCCACAGGGGGAGGTGGAGGGGACCGCAGTTGAGATGCTAGATGGAGATGGGAACAGAAGGTAACATGGGATTGGTGGAGCACAAGCCAGGCATGACAGCCACTTCACCTGCTGAATGCCTCCTACATATTCCCACTACATGACTGTCGTGCACATAGCATTCCACCATGCTATCTGCAAGAAAGCAAATATCAACGGAGCAAACCAAGACACAAGGTCATACAAGGGCTCACATATTTGATTAAAAATAATAATATTTGATAGCTAGTGTAACAAAGAAACTAACCAATTACAACAGACATTCTTTTTTTTTTTTTTTTTGGTGGCACTGGGGTTTGAACTCGGGGCCTCATTCTTGCTAGGCAGGTGCTCTACCACCTGAGCCATTCTGCCAGGCCTACAATGAGTATTCTAGTGGCCATAAGCCATTAGCATAGCTGTTCTGACTTCTTTGGTATCAACCTAAACCCTAACTGAGACCACAGTTACCCTCCAATGCTTGCCCTCTCCCCACCAGGTGAGAGATTATTTGACATTGATAGTGGGAGGAAGGCGCCTCTCCACTCGCCACCCAGCCAGCACTATACTATTGTTTTCAACACCTTCGTGCTGATGCAGCTCTTTAATGAAATCAACTCCAGAAAGATCCATGGGGAGAGGAACGTCTTCGCAGGCATCTACCGTAACATCATCTTCTGCTCGGTAGTCTTGGGCACATTCGTCGCCCAGGTGAGAGTCCATCTGGAGTCAGGATAGGAGGTCTGGGAAGATGAAGGCCAGTAACCTGAGAGCCAGGATTCCCTAAGAATCCAGGGGAAGAAATGAAGGAGTCATGGTGACCAGAGCTGTGGGTAAATGGGGTTCCCAATTGGCTTCCATTTGCACCTCACTCTAGAATTGAGCCTAGTGTGTCAAGCACTTCAGTGCAAGGCAGCATGTTGATTGCAAATAGAATAAGATGTGTACATTTTATAAATGTACAAAAACTCCATAAAGTGACCAAGAGAAGGGTAACTCTCCTCCAGTCCCTTCCTGGCCTCCTGCCAGCATACATGAGGTATGCACACACATGTCGCATAGCCTCCCTCCCTGCCCTTGTTCTGGCGGGGCATGTGGTAGGAAGTACCACACAGTTCTCAGAGGAGGGGAAAAGATAGGCTGGCGCATGTGTAATTGATGTAGTACGCATGGCGTGGGCTTCTGCTGTTGGAACTAGGGCCATGGGCATGGTGGCCTGGTGGTGAAAAGACGGGGCCCCTTCCTTCTTGCCCTACTCAGAGGTACACTAAACCATCTGTGGGTACAAGGGATTATGAGTAGGCCACACAACCAAAGAACTCCTATCTCATGCCTCAGTCCGACTCCCGATTCCTCTTCTCTAGTGCTGTGTCTTCTCTTTGTCATTCACTGGCTTTAGTCACAGAAAGCCTCCAGCTCCCTGTACTCTGCCAGACCTTACTTAATTCTCATCACATCATCATGGTGACTGTGAGTGTCTCCCCATCAGAATGCTATATAGGGACTGAATCTAATGCCCCTCCTCCCCTTCTAGATCTCGCTTTTGCTATTCCTTAGCAAGCAAATCAAAACTTGTGCCACCCTGGACAGGGAGGTGACATGGCTTTGGTAGCCATAACTGGAGGGCTAGCTACCTATTGGTCACCTCCCTGATAGTGAGCTGTCCTTTTCTCTGTTCTAGGTTTTCATTGTGGAATTTGGGGGTAAACCCTTCAGTTGTACAAAGCTCAGCCTGACCCAGTGGTTGTGGTGTCTCTTCATCGGGATTGGAGAACTTTTGTGGGGTCAGGTGAGTATGGCCTGGCTGCCTGTACGTTTACAGAGACTGCAGACTGCTCTCCTCTGTGGGCAATGGGACAAGCAGTGATGCCAGGTTCTGGATCCCCGCCTTCTCCGTCTCCCACTCTCCTTCCTACCTAAGCTTTCAAGTGCATTCCATTTCAGAGGTACCATGACAGAGTGATCATCACCCATCAATGTACAGCTTTAAGTCCTATGCCTGGCAGCTGGCAAAACCCTAGCTTCTCTCAGACACACATAGAACTTTTCACTCAAATTTTGCTAAAACCCCTAAGGGTCTTAGAATTAGAAGAGTTTACACAGCACATGTCTTACAAAATAAACATTCTCATGATTTAAGAAAAAAACAGCACTCATCTTTTATTCTAATGATGCAGCAGTGCTGACATCATTTGGGGCTCCCAGCCCCTTCTGCTTCTCATCATGGTTTTATCTGAATTGAATGCATGACTCTCAGCTGAGATAAATTCATACTCACAAGGTCTAAAGGATAGCATATGGTTCAGAGCATAGACTAGGAATGACTGGGTTCAGATCCCAGTTCTCTCCTGTTCACAAACTGAGTCATTGTGGGGCAGGTACTTAATCCTTTACTCTGTGCCTCAGTGTCCTCAGCTTAGGATAACAGGGTCATTGTAAGTTGTTAATTGGTGAATTAGTTACTACACAGAAAAAACAATCTCTAATACCTTGTAAGTACTCAATGAATATTAATATTAATAACAGTAATGTCAAGTGTGAAAAGGGTCTCACTCCTTCCCCTAGTACCCCACCACCTGGGTAGTAGGGCCCCAAAGAGCCCTGCCTGGAGCTGCAGGTCTTCCCCAAGACGAGCTGATTGTTTCACCACTACTCAATGCTTTCCTGATTAATCCCCATCCCAGTGCCTAACCTGCTTCCTCCACCCTAAACTTGCTAAAGTTTGCTAACCAGTAGGTCCCAAAAGCAGTTTTACCCTTGGGTTGTTTCACCTATTTGAGACTCTTCTGAGTCTGGCCTTGCATGTGACCACGAGGCCTTAACCAATCACCGCAGCTCCTTCCAACATCCAAAAGCAGAACATCGTTCTTCCCATTCCAAACCTCCTGGCTCCACATTGGACTGCCTGTGAAGTTCCTCTATCCCATCTGAGCCCTGTCTATTCCTCATCTTGCTTATAAAGGACTCTCCGACTGGCCCTGAGCTCACCAAGTGATATATTTTGAATTGCAAGTCCAACCTTCTGGTCTATGTCTTCTGCTAATACTCATGTGCCCCTTCTTTCAGGGGCTGTCCTGCCATCTTTCCTACCCCAAGACCAAGAAAACATATATCTCCTCTCACTGTCGTTTTATAACACTGGAGCTACCTCACAAGTGGTGACTTGAGAAGGGGCTGGTTTTCTCCCAACTCCTCTACCCCTCACCTATATATGTGCCATGTGCCCTTCTCCTCCCCACATCTGTTTCCTGGTCTCTGCCCCTCCCTGCTATGTGCCATGCATTATTCTTCTATTTCTCTCAAAAGATAGCACCATGGAAAGGAATAGCTGAGACAGCAAAAGAGGAAGTATGTGACTAAGTAGGTGGCTGGTAGGTTATTAAAATATAAGTTCTCTTCTGTGTGTCCATAAACACAGACACCTTCCTAAGAGCCTGACAGCTAGGGGCACCTGGTGAATGCCTCCTGAACAAATTGGTACTTGTCCTTGCTGCTCTCCCAGTGGGAAGGATGACAGGGTAGAGGAACCTCCCAAGGGCCTGAGTATACCGACAGCTCTTCTCCCCAATTCTGCACCCATTTTGTTTCATCTGCTCTCAGGTCATTTCTGCAATACCGACCCAGTCCCTGAAGTTCCTGAAGGAGGCTGGGCATGGCACTATCAAGGATGATTTGACCCACGATGGCGAGGGGATGGATGAGATTGACTTTGCAGAGATGGAGCTACGCCGTGGTCAGATCCTCTGGTTCCGAGGCCTGAACCGTATTCAGACTCAGGTACTGTGCTGGTGGCTTGGCCTTGCCTTGGGGGAAGAAATCTCCCCATGGTGGAGATGGTTAGGAGAGTGCCAGTTCTTGGAGGTCAGCATGTCTCACCTTCCTTAGATCCACCTCTAAAAAGCAGCTCTAACTCCCTAGCTTTGGGGTAGTAGAGACAGAGGTGTCTGCATGGGCCCCCTCTTAGAGAATAGTCAGCAGACCTAACCATGGGCCACTGTTAGCAGAGTCCTTCGGCTGTGGGTTGGCTTAAAGTCCACTTCCCCTGCCTATGTTGGCTGGGCAAGCTTCCCACACAAGATAGCTTGTAAGAAATAGCCCCAAAGGAGCAAAGCCAGGCAGGGTGGCATACACCTGTAATCCCAGCATTTGGGAGACTGAAGCAAGGAGGATCATGAGTTCAAGGCCAGCCTGGGCTACAGAGCCACCCCCAATCAATAATAAATAAATGAAAAAAAAATAAAGAAGGAGGAAGTAAACCGCATCCCTCTGCCAGCATCCACAGAAGTCATTTAATGTGCTGTTACAATAATAGAGGTTATCTGGAGGGGTCTTTGTAACAGAAACTCGCCCTCTTACATCTTTCCCACTTGAAATTTAAGCCTATGGTGGGTACTTTGATGGGTAAGTGTTTATAGATGACTACAGGCTCTCAGTGCCTGGGTATCTTTTGCAGCATTCAGACTTACTTACCAGAAAGGAAGAAGTTGGCATTTCCTTAAACTGTTCCCTTCTTGTAATCTCTGAAATGGGGTAGAAGGTGCTCATAAGTCCCTTGCCTGTTGCCCTACAGTACATTTTTTTGTTTCTTTTCCCACTTTTCATACATCAGTTGTACCTACATTCTGGGGGAGGTGAGCTGGCCTAGGCATTGGTAACCCTCCTCCCCTGCTCCCACTCCACCTCCTTTATTGTTTTATTCCCAGGATTCCCCATCTTCAGAATCTGACCATTCCACAGGTGTTCTCCAGAGCACTGGCCTGTTTCTCTCTGTTGATTGGCTGAAGAACCCCAAAATGTTTCACTCTCACAAAGTGGTCTTGCAAATAGTTTTTAAGATTCCATAGTCAACCTCACCTCCTCACCAGAGAAGATAGGTGAAACAAATACTCCAAACTACTTACCTGGTAGGAACTCATCTCCCAGATATAAGTCAACAGATGGAAAAGTGGGAAAGATCTAAGTAGAAGAATGCTGGGGCTCCTTTCCTCTCTCTTGAGTTCCTCCTCCCAGGAAAGGAAATTGCAGCGAGATCTGCGCAGACTGCCCTGTGGTGGACAGAGTTCCCACAGCCACCCACCCCACCATCCGGGCCATTGAGTCCATCAGGTGCCCATAGAACCTGGTGCCTTGGCTCTCATCTCTAAAGCCCCAGTACTTTCCTTTGGGTCTGCTCTTTTCAAAGTAACCTCTTTGCTTTTCTTCCCTTCAGGATCACCTGCCTCCTCTTCTACTATGTGATTTTTTTCCTAGCCAGGATTCCCTCATTCCAGTACCTCCTCATTCATTGCCAGTCTTCTCTCCTGGGGGCTGAAATTCATGAGTCTTCCTTCCCCTCCTCTGCCAATTCCCATTCCCTAAACTTCCCTCCTCTCTGTTTGTCTCTTGCCTACATAACTTTAGGTACACTCCCTTCCCCGCTGGAGTATGAGGCAGTTGGGCCAGAATGCATTAAAACCATACCAAAGGTGACCTGTTAAAGATGCCGCTGGCCTGATCCATGCTGTTCCAGTAGGCACGTGACTCTGCCAGCAGATGAGGCTGAATATGCTAATGAGTACCTTAGACACTGAGGTCCCTGACATCCCCTGCAGCCTCAGCATGGCTCTCACAAAGACGCCTGCCATCTCACAGTTGAACCTTATCATTCTCATTGCTACATGTGGAACGGGAAGCGTTGCCAGGCTGTGGCCTGGTCCTGCTTGGGATTTCCCCTTCCCCTTGCTCTAGGCAGTTCTTCCCCTCTCCTTTACCCTTTAGTATAGGGGGAGCTAAAGGCACTAGAGAGCAGAAGTTTGAGGAATGTGAAGGCTGGAATCTGGGAGAGGTAAGCCTGAATGCCATTTCTTTGCAGAGGTTGGACCTTATAACCTTACTGAGCATGAAGGAGGGTGTCTCTACAGCCCCTTCTTCATAGAGCTGGAAACCCTTTCCTCCTACAGACGTAGGCTCCTAGGTTCTCTGGAACTGAAAAGTGGGTAATGTGAGGAAGTAGGGGTGTTTTAGCTCAGACTTTGATCTGAATCTGGACACTAACCTTAAAAACATCCAAGCTTCTCTAGAAACTTTACAAATAAGAACAACTGTCTGACTCATAAGACACCTGCTTCGCATCTTCTCCCGGGAATGAGTCAGTCAGAGTAATGAGGTTAGCACCTTACCTGCTCATCTGGGGGATTGCCCCTGGAATTAGGCATGTGTGTATTTCTAAGAGGATTCCAACAGAACCATGAGGGATAAAGGAATCTCTTTCAATTTGTTGCTTCTTACTTAGGGTCAGGGATTCGATGGAGGCTCCCAGACCACAGCCATGGTTGGAAAGCGAATCACATTAATTACTGTGTCAATGGGTGGGCATGGAGCTGTAGCTTGCTCACCACCAACAACCAACGTCTCCTCCTGCCTGCTCCCCCTGTGTAACTACTGAGTTTCTGTCAGTTCTGCCAGCCATCTCAGGATCGCTAGTGCATTAACACAGTATGGTGGCATTCTCTTTAATGGGCCTGGCCGTTGGATTCCTGAGCTCCACTTCAGCCAGAGGAAGTGGATCTCAGGGAAGACACCCGGAAGAGGATGAGTCAGGCAACTGATGGTCCAGGGGCCTTTCCACCCTGGCCGTCTATGTGTGGGCTACTCCATTTTACTGCTCTGTTTTTGTTTAAACACATAAGTTATTTTCCTGGAAAAGCCACAAAAATACGTATTGATTTAGAGATTCTTGAGCCTTGAAATTCAGTAATATGTAGTCTGCCTAGTATCTCAGATTGCATGCCTATTTTTAAGAGTACAGGTCAAAATAATGAATATGCTGCCAGCCTCTAGTCTAGTTGTTAGCAGTGACGGGTGGGAAAAGTCCCTTTAAGTTTTCAAGACCCTCAAACACCTGTACACCTCAAATGCCCGCTCTAAGCTATAAGGAAAGAGAAAACCAGATTGTGGCTGGGGGTTTGAATTCCATGGCAAGATGTTCTTTAAGTGAAGTATGACACACAATTAACGTTCTCTCCCATCCCCACCCCACTGTGTGTGTGAGGGACTCTCTCTGTTGCTTTCCATCCCCTTCCCCAGACCTCCATCACCCTGCCTTCCTGTCCGTCCCTTCTCCTCTCTCTGACTGTGGAGCAAAGCTGTCTCACTCTCTGATTCTTTGCAGATCGAAGTTATTAACACATTCCAGACGGGAGCCACTTTTAAGGGAGTCATAAAGCGCCAGACCATGGGTCCTAGCTCATCCTATGCAGCAGTTGCACCAGGCAAACCTTCCCCCACCACCTCTGCTGCCGTTTCATCTCCTCCTATGGGCAGTGAGTGATAGTTATTACGATGCATGATTTGCTAAAATGACCACAAGAGAGCGCGTGGCATCCACTTTAAACAACCGTGGTTACCTTTTCCTTTTGGTTTTTCCTTTTGATTTATTGACTTAAGAGAAGAAAAGTCAAAAATCCCACTCTCAAACCAGGCTGTGTGTTCTTTTATTCTATTATTTTTTCAATGTTGGAAAGCTATTAAACCTTAATCATTTTAAAAACAATAGTCCTGTTTTCTGATTGTTCCTCTGCATTGCTTCTTTCTTTCTTTTCTTGAGTTCGTTTCTGCTTTGCTTTGGTTTTTGCTTTGTTTGGATATGCTGTTTCTGCTCTCCTCTTGCTCCTCTGAGTCTAAACTCTGTCTCCTAAGCTTAGATGTGGGGTTAGGATGAATGAAAACTCAGGGACTCTTGAAGCAAGTTTGAGCTCCCCTGAAGGAAGGTAGAAAGAGAACTGCTGAGTCTGTGGGTCCTTTTCCAGGGGACCTGTCCTAATGAAACTGATACTGAACTTTCTTAGTAATAAAAGTCCTATGGCTACTGAGCATTGTTATAGCTCAGACATAGAAGGATAGATATCCCTGTTATCTTATTTCTCAGGGACTTTAAACCAATTAATTTTTAAAAAATAGCTGGAAAAAAGTAAAAGTTAAAAAAAAGAATCAATTCACATGGGTAGGAGAAATACATGAAAGTTTCAAAACAGCTCATTTTTTTCTTCATTTAAAATTTTTAGACTGGGCGTGGTAGTCCACTCCTGTAATCCCAGCACTTGGGAGGCTGAGGCAGGAGAATCAAGAGTTCAAGGCCAGCCTGGGCCACAAAAAAAAAAAAAAGAAAGAAAAAAAATTTTAGGAGTTTCTGAAGAAGAACCTATTTTTGTTTCTCCCCTTCTCTAGTTGAATCATTTTACCAACCAGCCCTTTGTCACTTATTTTACACATAAAGTTTAGGAACCCCTTTCCTGCCAGCCTTTTGGTTGGAATGCTGTCAACTCTCAACCTAAGACCTGGTGTTCTCATTGACAGATAGTCATACTCTTATTGATACCTCCTTATTCCTGACCATTTTACCTTCCCCAAATGAGAGAGAGAGAGGACAGCCAGTAAGGTGGGAAAGGAATTCCTCTGTACTAAATATATTGTGAACCTCAAATATTCCTTTCTCCCCACACCCAAAAGCCCACACCCCACCCCGGGGAGAAAGATGAAGAATGAGTAATTGTATTGACGGTGAACTGGGCAGATTGATCAGATTTAGATTTGTATTTTCTTTTTAGCAATCGTAAGTGTCCTTGTGTGAGATATGAGGGGTAGGGTTGATGGAGATACATATTATTTCTTTAGGCCCAAAGGTAAGCAAGAAAATTCTAAATAAGTCTTACCCTGCAAATATCTAAGAACCTCTCACTCTAGTCCTTCCATATTCCTCTCTGAATTCCTTTCTTCTCCTAGTTCTGCCATCTCCTTCTAACTAGCTTCTGTCCTTCTTTGATCGTCCCTCTCTGGTAGAAAGGGTTAGTGTCAAGTGTCTAGTGAGTGGACGATAGAAGGTGACTAAGCAGAAGACAGAGCCCAGTGAGCTCTTAAAGCGAAGCTAGAAGAGGTTGTGCGCCAAACCCTCATAGGCTAAAATATCAGGGCGTGGGTATGCATTAAGCGGTATCACATTTGCCTAGCAAGTATAAGGCCCTGAGTTCAAACCCTAGTACCACAAAAAAAAAAAAAAGGCTAGAAAAATCAGAGGAGAGACAGGCCATGCCTGCTCTTTCTCCAGCTGTGACTTCTTATCTGGAGGTCCTGGAAGTTACAGTCATGCATTTTAAAGCCCTTCTTTCCCATTCCAGAATTCCAGTTGAATTAACTGGCTAAGGTTTCCCTCCGGAGAGAGGCCCTAATCCTTCTCCTTCCCTGGTTTCTGAAAAGGGAGAAGAAAATGATAGAATTCCAGTTGGTGAAGTGGCCTCTTCATTGACCACTCACTGAGCTTCAGAGACTAGACTTTACACTCATTCCTAATCTGAGGCCCAGCCCGGTTGGGGCCCATGAGCCACAAAAGAACTGCCCTGCTGTCAGCTCCCAAGAGATGTTTCTGGGGGGGAAAAAAAAAATGTTCAGGGAAAGAAGAGCTGATTGACTTAGTGAAGAGTGTGCCCAGCCTTTCACCACACCACTTCACTAGCCCTGCCTTCTCCCACACACTGCTCACACACCAGGCCCCATGCACCTTGGGGTGAGTTGGTGGTGGTACCTTGTGCGACTGTTCATCAGCATGTGTTCTTTGAGTCGGTGTTGGAGTTCAGTATTCTGGTTCAACCCTCCCTCCCCACCCCCATCCTTCTCTCCACCCCCCTGGGGCCTGGTGCTGCTCCCTTGCTCTCTGGTGCCTCTTCACTTGAGCTTCCCTTACAGGTACCTGGTTTTCCTCTAAACTCCAGAAGTCCTGCAGTCTAGCTGGATGTCTGTTCTTTGCTCCCCCCACCCAAACAGTGTTTTTCTGTATTTTTCACCTACCCATCCCTAATTCACTTTTATCTCTCTCAGTTGTTTATTTATAACAGTGTTATGGTCACCCCAACAGGTGACAGAAAAACCAACAAATAGGCTCTCATTCTAACATTAATCTTTTTAAATATATTTTATGATGGACTTTACATACAATTGTTTCAATAAAGTATTTAGAAGCAGGAAGTTTAAACATCACTAATATAGAAGACAATGAATCAGTGGTATAAATGTACCTGCTGTCCTAGAACTCATTAGAAATTTAAGATCTTGCCAGGTACCCATTGCTTATGTCGGTAATCCTAGCTACTTGGGAGGCAGAGATCAGGAGGATGGAGGTTAGAAGCCAGCCCCAGGCAAATATTCATGAGACCCTATGTTGAAAATATCCAACACAAAACAGGGCTAGTTGAGTAGCTCAAGTGGTAGAGTGCCTGCCTAGCAAGCATGAGGCCCTGAGTTCAAACCCCAGTGCCACCAAAAGAAAGAAATTTTAAGATCTCAAAAAAATATGAAAAATGAGGGCTATGTTATTGCTCCTAGAGAGGTGAGATGGCTTTGGACCCTCCCTTGGTCAGTGTTTCTGTACCAGGGCCAAAGGAGAAGGCATTGACCTTGGGCTCATTTCATCCAAGTTACCTCACTCCAAGATTTGATGTAGGTCACTGAATCTTGGGACCTCCTGCAGGTTAGATAGAGCCTCCTTTCCACCTGCTCTCACCTAGATCTGGAGCAAAGGCAATATGATGGGTAAAACTCACCATCAGATCGCAATAGGAATCATAGAAGAATGGAAAAGTGGGTCCACACCTTCTGTTCCGTATGGTGAGTGTGTACCCAGTTTCCTTGAGTCTTCTTAGCCAAAGTGTTGAGTCATTTTCCTTCTAAGCTCAGGGAACCTCCACGCTGGGGGGATCTGCAGGCTGTGGAGGAGAGGGGCAAGGTAAGGAAAGCCTTAGCCAGCAGTGGCCCAATCTTCAGAAAAGAGGAACCCACAGTACTGATAGTGAGGCTGCATTGTGTAGTATCTTTGAAAGTTCTAATGTAAAAACGATAAAATGAAAGAAAAAGAAAGAAAGTTCTTCTGTAAGATGATAGGAAGTACTGGGACAGGAAATCCAGCCAGTTTGTTTGGTTTACTTTTTATATGCTCTGTTACCTCCCCATTCTTGTCTTTTCTCCAGAAAAATACGGTTTTTTTTTTTTTTGCTTAAACAGCAGAGAAATGAAAGGGGTGCCCTGCCTCAACATTTCCCCATTCCTCCTTATCCTCCTTCCCACCTTAACAGTTTCTCCAGCATTACTCCCATGTCTTTTCTGAGGGAGGGATTTTTAGACAAGACCAAGATTGGTCACCTCCCCAAAACAAAACTATCCTACAACCACTTATCTTTCCACGTTCTCCAGTCTCCAGGACCCAGCTCCCCACCCCCCACCATCCCAATTCTACCACCCTAGGTTCTAAACCACACTCCAGGGAGTCCTACAGTTCAGAAAAGCAGAACTGCCAAAAGAGTTGGTGCCTGTGGATAAGCAAAAGCTGTTCCCAGGGATTGATTATTGTCAGTTTTTCCCTCTTGCCTCTGAATTGACTGAATTCCTTCCTTTTTGTGTGGTAGAACGAGGACTTTGACACAGGGCAATGTATTTCCCTTTGCCCAGTAAAACTGCAAATTTTTCCATTCTTCCATCTTCTTCCTCTTTCCCATCAGAAGGGCTGCCTGTTTGTAGCCTGCCTCCTGGATTAGGTTTTTCTCCTGCTCCCAGACTTTCCCTTCTCCGTGCAAGATCAGACTCCTCTTCATAATTTGGAAAAAAGCAGCATGAATGAGCACCACTTCCATGGATCAGAGACATGGATGTGCATTTGAGTCATGAGAGCCAGGTCTTCCTCAGTAGGCGGGGGAGGGCGTCTTTTGACATCTGTATTTTATCCACATCTTCTAGGGGAGGGAATGGAGTTCTGCTTTCTTCGAGAGGAGGGGACATGGTGGAGGTTGTGGGATATAAATATATGCCTGTCTTCTGACTGAACAGGCAAATTATTAAATTGGACAGTTTTAATTTCCTGCATGCTACTGAATGAAAATTGGCTTGTCTGCCTGGCTGCACAGTATCCGTGGTTGCTTGTCACCAAATGTGTATTATGTGAAGATTGGTATATATTGGCTCTTTGAGAGTTTTAAAACAGTTAACAAAACTTCAATGTGTAAGTTTTCCATTCCACATTCACAAAATGTTTGGCCTCAATACAGAAATCCACCTGAGTGAATTATCTTTTAAGTTTGGCTGTTAATTTGCATTGCACCTGGTTCCAGCGTCCTGCCCTCTATCAAAAAAGAACTAATGAATCTTTGTTTTCTGTTTCATTTTAAGAATGGATTGTTTGGGAATGCTAACTTTGCTTTGGTTTTCTAGTTTTTTTTAAAGCAAGCTTTGAAACATCCTTTTTGTTTGCCATCACTCACCCCACCCTTGTGCCTGAAATTTGAGCTGTGATATTTCTAGTGTCCCATGATCTCTCCTTTCATGTTTGGTTTTGGTTGTTGAGCAGTCATGTTTTATAGTTTGCATTTTGTTTTGTTTTGTTTTGTTTTTTCTCTCTCTCTGTCCTCAAACCACTAGTTCCTTGGTCTGCTGGCCAATTCTCATCCTTATTTTCTCATCGTCCTTTTCCTTCCCCCGGTATAGATCAGAGTGGTCAGAGTGTTCCATAGCTCCCTCCCCGGAGTCATTCCGAAGTCCAAGATTCAACAATCCATCCACAACTTCATGGCCACCCCTGAATTCGATGACGAGTTTCCGCGAACACCCGCCCAGCATAGCCACGAGGAGGACCTTAGCAAGGATGCTAAGACTGGGACAAGGGTGCTTCTGTTGGATGGTGAGGCCGCTCCACATGCTAACAAAAACAACAACGCTGCGGATTCCAATCAAGTGCAGGTCTTTGCCTCTCATTCGGACAGCCCCCTGCAAAGCCTGGAGACATCAGTTTGAACTTTCATTCTCTGACTCCCATCCCTGCTTTCTCTTATTTCCTTTTTTTACCTATCCCATCTACAAGGTGACGATGGGACTTTTCACTGTCATGTCAGCTGCTCCCAAGTGTGTGAAGACCCCCACCTGACCACGAAGAAGCAACAGCACAGACCTACAAGGATTTCAACTTAAACTTGAGCTGGGGTTTGTAGCAGGACCCAGTCAAACCCCAGGCAAGTAATGGTAGAATCTACTCCTTAGGTGTGTCATTTGTTATTTTTAAAGAAGTGACGACAATCCTAGCATAATCTCAACCCAAATTCTCCATGGTGTTTATACACATGTCACCATCTTCTGGCTTCTAGATTTCATCCTATGAGTCTCTGCCATTTACAAGCTAATTAAGGGTTCAGAGAGAGACAAATATTCACAAATGAAATGTGTTGAGGTAGGGATGGAAGGTGTAAAATCAGCCAGTGTAGTGATTGTTTTAAAAACATTTTTTTCCCATTTTGAAAACTTATACCTGAACACCTCTAGTTCTTTCTGCCCTTCCAGTCAATCCTCCCCAGGGTTCTTTTGGTTTTGCGTGACCCTTCCTTCTTTGCTTCTCTCATATTCTCTCTTTCTCTCTCCCTCTTTGTCTCTCTCTTTCTCTCTCTCTCTCTCATTGTGATAGTTAAGAGAAAGGATACAGATGGATTGAATCAACCATTCTCCCTTCTGGCCCCAATAGAACACTTAATTTAGTTCTAGATCTGGAGACAGACAGGTTTCCTTGCTAAAAGGATCCTCTTGAAGCAATTAAGAGCTGGTAAGAACAGTCCCCTGTTGTTTCCAGGTTAGCTTTTACATCTAAACTGCCATCTTGTCAGGGGTGTGTGGCTTTTAAGTGCCAGGGAGATCAGCCTTGACTATGAAGCTGGTGTATGTGTGATATATAGCTTTTTACCTTAGGCCTGAGCTTCGTCCTATTCCTAAAGAGGTGGCAAAAGAATGAATTGGGTGTGACCCTACCTCCTTACTGCATTTGGAGTTTGAGGACCAGAAGCTGCCAGGCCTACGACAAGACAAGCCATTGAAGCAGACTCTCAAAGGGTTCCCCATAGGGTGGCCACTGCTTTCAAAGCCATCTTCCAAGACCCCTCTGGGGCAGGACGTGATTGTTGGGAGAAATGAGTGTTAAAAAGCCTTGGAAGAGGCCAAAGAGCCATTCTAGCAGTATCTAAGAAAACCTCCCTGTAAGCATCAGAAACCTCGAGCTTAGGTGCTGGGTTTCACTTTGTCATTCCCTTCACAATCCTAATTCTACTCTTTGCTGTGTCCCATACATCTTTAGTCTTGCACAAATATTTTGACTTTGAACACATATCCAAAGGGGGAGGCTCCCGTGACATTGTGCTGACTTCAAGGAGCAACAAGCCCACGCTGGGGAGTACCCTGACTTCCTCTCTTCTTGCTCTCGCATGCCCCACTCCAACCCTCCCCAACACATACTCCAGCTGCTGCCCAGGAAAGTCCTGTGCCTTTTCGCCCTGAACACTGCTCAGAGCATCCCCAGTCCACTTGCATCTCAGGGGTTGAGGATTTTGCTAGGAGGCTTAAGTGTTCCATCCTGGGACAAGGTAGAGCCAAATTCCCAGGAGCACCATGGTTTTCCCTGCTCTTCTGTGTAGATGGCGCTAACCCATGTCCCCAAGTCTCACCTCGCATTAGATCAATGAAGCACTCCCCCCCACACACTTCCAGACTGATGGGAGTGAGAAGAGGACACTCGAGGCCCGTAAGAACTGCCAGTTTTCGGTTTGGGAGAGGAAGATGACCTGAAACTGTCTACTTCTAGCCTTTTCTTCTGGATCCCTCCTCCCTCACTCCTTATACTTGAGCTATCCAAGGTAGAATGAGTAGAGAACACATCCATGACTACATAACCCATCACTGTAGGAAACAGGAAAACAGCTCTGATTTGGGTTTTGTAAGGGTTACGTGCTTCAGCAATCTTTTCTCTGTCTTAAATACTCATGGTGGGGGAGACGAATAGCTCACCCAAGGTGTCAGGTGTTCACATATATATATTTATTAAGTATATTGGAAGATTTAATTCTGTCAAGTCTTTTATTACCTCAGATCATTTTAAAAAGCAAGCCAATAACAAGCTTCAGAGGCCATTTTACCATTCCTGTTCCCTAAAGACTCTCATGGTGCCTGATAGGATACCCCTGAGGGCTCATGTCTACTTTTTTAAAGTCAACGATTTTGTGTGTGTGTGTGTGTGTGTGTGTGTGTGTGTGCTAGTTTCCATAGTAAGAGAGAAAATACAGAAATATTATGCAAAATATATAGTTTTCTTTAGATCAGAAACTGATATTTTTGAGTCAGCCATATGTATTTTGTTTAAAGGATTTGAGATAAAGTGCCGTCACCTAACTCTGTGGAAGGGAGCACATAACCAGCTGTTTGACATGACAGTGACTTAGTATATTTATAATTGGTTGTAAAAAACCAATACACCATACTTCCTTTCTCCAAACAGCCATCTTTATACTTAGGGGAAAATTTTTGTTGGGTTCTAGACTTTTTTAATATAAATTTTGTTGATATGGAATTGAGTAAGTGTTTCTGTCCATATGGTTTTTTATATGTTTTTTTCTATTCAGTTTCAGTGATCCAACTGGCAGTGGTGACTATGGCCTAAACTAACAATGCTTTTCCCAAAATGGTGCTTTCAGTTTGAAAAGGGTCTGATGGGGAGGAGAAAATACCATCTTAGGTTCCTCTCTTGATAAGCCTAGAAAAACAGGTAGTAAACTACTGATAGGAAAACATCCAGCAAGAAGGTTCGCAACTGCCAGGAATTGGACGTGTACCCCCAGCCCCCACAGAGATGGGTTGCCAGGCTTTTTGGTACATGGCGGTTGGTATCAGGGCCTTATGTTGGTTTTGTGTTTCTTGAAGAATTAGCTGGCAGACTGGTACCAAAGACAGTCTGGATCTGTAAGGGAACTGATTTGGGATTTGCATGTTTTGTTTCTTCCATTTCCTGTTCCCCCTGGACTTTTCCATTAGTGAGTTTTTGTGCAAGAATCTGATTTGTAATTCCTTTCTTCCCCTAGGAAGATATTGTGTGATATGTTAGACAGAAGACAGAGCTATGTGTGATTTAAAAACAACGGCTGGTTCCAGCCCTGGGCAATAGTCTCAGAGCTAGGTCCTTCCCATAGGTGTCCTCTGTCCTCTGAAGTAACTCTTCCATCTCAAAAGGTATTAAGAGCGAGACCACCAGGAAATCCCTGTGGGCCCTGTGGATTCTTTAGTGTTTGGGTTTCTTCTCTTTGAGCTTCAGAGGAGAGTTTACACAGATACATCTGAATGATTACCTCACTGCCGAAAACCCAGAGGGACACAAACCCTCTTAATGCATCCCTTCCTTTCTTTCCTGCTTCCCTTGCCTTACAATTGAAGCCACCCATGGCACCATCCCAATGTGCATATTTGCTCATCTTTCATATCTAGGGACCACCCTACTGCATTGGTGGTGGTGGGCAGTTATAAATATCTGCTATTCTTAAGCCATTCTAGACTCTCGGAGCAGACCAGATACCCTTCCATTTAGCTCAGTGCCAGAATTTTTATCTTCCCAACCCTGCAGTTATACCTGCCATCCCCTTTCCTCTTGATTAGGGGAGGCAGAGGGAGGTGAGCTCCCTGCAACTGAATCGGCCTTTGGTTCATGTTTTCTCCCCATATGTATATATGCCATATGTGAATATGCCATATATATGTGGCAGCAGATCTATCTATGTTGTTCTTTTCAAATTAGCACGCAGGTAGGAATTTTGAGTTTCTTCTTCTTTTTGGTAACTAGTATAACAAGCACTGATATTTTTGTACAAAAAAAAATCAGAAGATTGACTATTGTGGTCTGCATGACAAGCAAATGGTGATATCAAAGCAATGTATACCCTTGTGTGTGTTACCATAATTTGCAGTTCAACTTAACAGTGCACCCAATCTGTATTTGCATTTTGATATTATTTAAGCTCTATGTACAATGTTTTGCATGTATTTATACGGTTCTTAGGGGAAAAATTTTGATAAACTGGCAAATCTGATGTGTTGTTCCACTGAGACGGGATGAAGAGGAGTTTTAAAAGGGGTCATTTTTTGGAACCAATAAAGCTTTTTCGCTGATAAGCAGAACCAATACTGCCATGCACTGAGAATAAAAAACCCATACCCACTTGTAACTGTGCTGTCCTCAATGTGTCTCCACTTTTGGGTAATGCCACTGTTGATCTTGGAGCTGAGAAGGTTACCACCACAGCCACCCATCAGAGCCAGCACAGATCTCAGCTTGCTCCTTACCCTCCCGTATCTCTCCCTGGAGTTTTGCTGTCCTGGGTGCCAGTCTTGTTCCCTGGTGGAACAAGCTTTGTTCTGCCCACTACAGTTGGAGTAAGTAGAGTCCACAATCCAGGAACTGGTAAGTTGGAGTCTTGGGAGGGATAAGCAAGAAGCAGTCTTAGGTGACCTCTGTCCATTTTTTTTTTTTTTTAATGAGATGCCATTTGGCAAAGTTAGTTCTCCTTATATTTGTTGTTTTTCCCTTTGTTCTCTACCACCCACTTCCTCCTTATAGCTTTGGTTTTTTTTCATTGTTTTCGTTTTGTTTTTAATGGTTTCGTTTCTAGTATATTTCTAGAATTTCTAGTGTGTCTGGTATTAGATGCATTTCCAGCCAAAACAGTTTCCTGACAGGTCATTTATATTCTGAGCTTTCAGGTCTCAGGTAACCCCCTCCTGCAGCTCTCATCCAGTTGCACAGCCAAGTTCCCTGCTCTCTTTTAAAACACCATAGTAGAAAAGCTCCCCAAGTCCCCTTAGGAATGTACAATGTTGAAGAACAGCCAAAATTCCTGCAGGTTCTCCCAGGCTGTTTCTGAAGACTCTGGATTTAGGGAGGACCCAGCCTTACTTGGAAAAGTCCCCTACAGCCTGTGGTCTTACCCCACTTTTCTTGCCTTGTCCCAGGTTGTTCCCCACAGGCATGGACACACCCACTTAGTTTCTTGAAATAGAGACTGGAGGTAGTTAATTAAAAGAAATTAAGGGGGCTGGGCTTATTTGATAACAGGAGTCACAACAGAACCGTAAGTTCCCCCACAGACTGCCTTGCTAATAAGGAAGCAACACATACACAAGAGTCCTTTCCAAAGCTTCACCCCATATTTCTCCTCTCACTCTTAGACAAGATAGAAGGCAGATATATCTGTGCCTTTCTTCTATGCCAACAGAGACTCTTAAAAGTCCAATCTCCAAACCCCAGTATGTGGTAAGGAATGGTGAAGAACAAGTCTCACAAGTGTCATTCTGTCAGACACCATGTATTCATAGACATTAGGACAACAGGACTTAGAGGCCAGCTTGGCTCCTTGGGCCCAGAGAATATAGAAGAAACATGCCCTTTTCCTTCTTCTTCTCTACCCCCAGTTTCAGAAGCTTTACCCTCCATCTTTAGTAACAAATTGTGAGATCCCCTCTCTCACTAATGCATCTTCTCCATGTCGTCAGTGGGTTTGTTTGAAGCTCTCTGCCAGTCCTTCCTGGTTCTCTCCCAAGCATACACATGGCCAGGCAACCTCCCTCACTTCATTCTGTGGCAAATCCAAAGATGACTTGTGGATATCAGCAAGTTATTACCAGTCCCTGACCAGAATCTCTCATCTGTGCCTCTCATCACTGAAAGCAAAGAGAGGATGAGAATGTCATTTCCTTCACCAGCAAATAATTTTGGTGCTCTGTTGCAAATAAAGCATCTAAACATGTTACTATCTCTGTGTGGTGTCATTAACAATCAGTTGCCTCCAGCAGGAACCTAAGCCATAGGGAAGAACCTATGAGATGTGTAATCACAAAACACTCATCTGGAAACTGGGAGTTGCTGGCTAGTGTGTGATGGGGAGCCAACCATAAACAAGTCTTTAACATTTTTTCAAACAATCCCTCCTGGCCCATCACCACTCCCCTATCCTGAGAAGACACATACACAGGAGAAAATGCTCTTTGGGATGGTGTCAAATTCAAAATGCCATTTCACACTTACTTACACTGAGAAGTGAAATGATTCATGTATTTGGAAAATCAAATGACAACCAGAAATCTAACTTCTGCTCATGAAAGTCAAGCAAGGCAAATACTTGAGCTGTCTGCTCAAGGATATATCCCAAGGATATATCTTTCTCTCCTCTGGGATAGACCTGTGCCCTGTGTGCAAGTTCAGGCAACACATGTTTTCCCCAGTGTCCTCTCCAATAGAAACATATAGCCCATCTTCTTTTAGCACCCACATTTTCCAAATGTTGCACCATTTGATGTGGTTACACTTTCTTGCTCTACCAATTCCAGGAATGCTGCATTGGATTTGGTGTTTAAAAAGAAAAACTCTGACTGGGCACTGGTGGCTCACACCTGTAATCCTAGCTACTCAGGAGGCAGAGATCAGGAGGATCATGGTTCCAGGCGAACTGGGGCAAATAGTTCACAAGACCCTACCTTGAAAACATCCAGCACAAAAAAGGACTGGTGGAGTGGCTCAAGTGGTAGAGTGCCTGCTTAGTAAGCATAAAACCCTGAGTTCGAACCCCAGTACCACCAAACTATAATACTAATTAATTAAAAACTCCAGTCTTTATGTCTTAGCCTATTTAATTTTTGATTGCAGTATTGTGGACTGAACCCAGGGCCTCACACAAGCTAGGCAAGTGCTCTAGACTAAGGAACATCCCCAATTCCTTAGGCCCATGTAAAGTAAATACATATGACAACTTCCTTGAGACAGGCATGGTGGTGCACGCCTGGAATCTCAGCACTCAGAAGACTGAGGCAGGAGGATCTTGAATTTGAAGCCAGCTGGGACTACATAGTGAGAAAACTTAACTTGAAAGAGGAAGTAAGGCTGGGGAGGGAAGGGTGAGGGACTTCAATGCCTGCCTTTGAAGACAAACAAATACTTTCACAGTTATCTGAAACCCTTCATTTTGAGTCAAGAATTCTTGCATCTTCCCTTTGAATGAGCTGCTGCTGACCAAATAGGAAAGAGAGGGGACAAATCTGATTTTGCTCACACTTTGGTAAAAGGCTGAGCCAGCAAAATTAGATATGGGGTAAAATCCTGCTGTTCCAAAGTGGGCAGCAGGAGATGTGCACCCTGATCCCAGCTTCTTTACTGGCTTGGTTTCCCATCCCCACAAGACCATCAAGCGACGTGAATGATTTTCAAACTACACTTTGAAGATCACAGAGACTCCTTAGAGATAATTCGGGGCCCACAGGTGTGGGCACTTCTTAAAAAAAGCTTGACTTCCAGGTCAGCTGTAACTTTTGAAATGACTTACTCAAGTAGCTGGGCCCTGTGGCTCACACCTATAATCCCAGCTACTTGGGAGATGGAGAACATGAGAATCATAGTTCAAATCCAGCCTGGGCAAATAATTTGTGAGACTCCCATCTCCAAAATAACTAGAGTAAAATGGACTGGAGGTTTGGCTCAAACAATAGAACACCTGCTTTGTAAGTGTGAAGCACTGAGTTCAAACTCCAGTCCCTCCAAAACACACACACACACACACCCCTGAAATAACTCCTCTCTAATGTCTCTGCTGGCTCTGAAATGCTATGGTTCTATTTATTTTTATTTTATTTTATTTTATTTTAACGTTTTTGCATTTACTTACATGTGTATACATTATTTGGGCCACCTCCCCCCCCTCTCCACCATGGTTCTATTTGAAAAAAAAAAAGTGCTGAAATGATCCAAAATTAGGTGACAATGTAACAAGTTATGTGTTTAAATGTACAATCAGGGCAGGTGTGGTGGTTCACATCAAGAACACAGCTATTCAGGAGGTAGAGCTAGGTTGATTGCAGTCTGAGGCCAGTCAGACAAAAGTGTGAGACCCTATCTGAAAAACAAACTAAAACCAAAAGTGCTGGGGGCGTGACTCAAGTGGTACAGTGCTTACCTAGCCCTGAGTTCAATCCCCAGTACAGAAAAAGAAAAAAAAAAATAGGCAAGTCTAATTTGGATCCCTTCTCAACTTTCTCCCATTTTAATTGTCAACATATGCACAAATAAAATATAATAAAACCTAGAGAGTGGAGTCCAGCCAGCCAAGACAACTATCTAGCTGATTCTGGCTTGGACTGAAATCTGCTTGGGAATTTGTGGTGGGAAGAGCAGGAGTTCAGAAATCCAGAGCTAGAGCCCAGTGGAACCATATAAAATTAGAGAGGAGAAGCAAGGTGTGTCTTTTGAGGAAAGGCGGGAAGAGCCTGGCCTGCAAATCAGAAGGGTTGTATCACAATCCTGACCCTGCTACGTATTTGCTGTGTGACTTCAGGATCTTTCCAGCTCTGACACTATTTCCATTCTTGCTCTAGTGTTTTAACTGCTATTAATAACCACTGGAGAACGACTAAGTGGGATTTCGCTTTCATGGCTTTATCAGCCCTGGAATGTGGCATAATTTTGTGAGTATTGAACACTGCTTCATACCAGGACGTGTGCAGGCAGGCTTCACGTCAGACTGAGCCACTTTTGTGTCTGCAATAAAGACAAATTGCTCTACGCCTTTAAAGTGGGAGAAATATGTTTCTTTTCTAAATCAAATCCAGCACTGAACTAGCCTGTGCTCACCAAGGTCTGTGAGAGGACTTTTTGTGCTATTGATCCACTCATTCGGCTAACAAGCACAGTATTTATTGTGCCAGGTACTGTTGTAAACACTGAAGATAAGCAGAATAAAGCCCCTGGCCTCTTTGAATTTAGTCTCATAGAGAAGACACAAAATAAGTAAATAGATAGCATGTCAGGGGGCAATAAGGGCCAGAGAGGCCAGTAAGGTAGGTAAGGGGAATGGAGAACACAAGAGAGGAGAACAGAGTGGTCAGGAAAGGTCTCTCTAATAAAGACATTCGTGAAGACAGCTGGAGGAAGGAAGAGAGCTGGCTAGGTGAATATATGGAGGGAAGGGACTCCAGGCTCAGGGTACAGCAAGGCTAAAGGCCCTGAGGCAATAGATCTTGATTTGTTGAGGGAATGCAAGGGGGCAGGGTTTAGAATTGAGTGGCTAAGTGGGAAAGTGAAAAGGTTAAACTCCAGAAGCCACAGTCCGTAAGTTTGGCTTTCATGAAACAGGAACTCACTGGAGGATTTTAGCTGAGCCCTGAAGTGACCTATCTTCAGTGTAATGGAGTCATGCTGTCTGCTGGATGGCTACGATCCAAGGGAAAATGGAAGACCAATGCAGCTTTAACACACATGCCTCCTGTGGACCTGACCTTCTGCCAAGGGGACAGGTAGATCCAAGCCCCAGCGCCATGCCGTTGTCCTATGACACACAAAGTAGCCAAAAGAAAATGCTTGAGCCAAGCACTGGTGACTCACACCTGTAATCCTAGCTACTCGAGAGGCAGAGAGTAGGAGGACCTTGATTGGAAAGCCAGCCCCAGGCAAATAGTTCACGAGACCCTATCACAAAAAAAGGGCTGATGGAGTGACTCAAGCAGTAAGAGCACCTGCCTGGCAAGCTTAAGGCCCTAAACTGGGGGTGGAAAGGGGGGAAGAAATGAATACAGATTGCTTCACCTCAGCTTGTTTGGGGGCACTCTGGTGGATGAAGTAAGTCGTGCTGGAGGACACAAAGAAAACCACCTTAACCTGTGCTTTACCAGCTGAGGCCTCCCACTCCCATTGTCAGGTCCACTGTGCAGTCCCCAGGCAGGCCTTGTGCCCTCCTCACCTCCCCTGAGACACACTGCTGCCATCTGATTCCTGATGTGACTGCCCACCTTGCTCCCTCTGCTGAGGAGTCACCTCCTTCCTGCCAGGACCCATGAGTCAGCATCTCTCTGCTTGTGCTCTGGGAGGTGGGAGGCCAGCCCGCCCACTCACAGATTTTCTGCAAGAAGTCTTGGGACCATTAGCAGAAGCTTGCTCCTTGGACATGCCTCACTGCCACCACTACTCTGAGGCTCTCTGGCTGCTAGGTCTCAAAGAACATTGGGGAGGTCTCAGAAGCACCAAGGAGCAGAGGCCTGCTTTGCCCTTGGAGCATCAGAATTTTTTTTATCTGTCAACAACACCAACCACCTCTTTCTTCCATTAGAGCTGAGTCTAGTGTGGGAACAGAGACTTCTCCCACTGAGGTCATGTTCCTCGTTTTCAAATACTTCTTAGCCTTCTTAAGGATCTTGGGCAGAGTGGGGACAGAGGAGTGAGAGAAATGTTTTGTCCTGACCCTGCTCTCTCAAGTCTTTAACTCAAAAGGAAGGCTTTGCTGTCTTTGTTTTCTTTCCGACTTGTCTGGACTGGAGAGGCCTTGGGGGTACAAATGAAGTGGGGCGGGGTTACCTCCATTAAGACTTCTCCTGTCATCCTACCAGACCCAAACTTTCGAAAGGAAGCCTCTTTGGGGCTGTCTTTCACACAGGGCAAGTGGCTTCTCTTTTTTTTTGGCCCAGAAATGCAAGAGCTACTGTTAAAAACTTGGTGTGACAAAGGAGACCGGCCACAGGCCTGGGTTTCCTTCCTGTGAGGACAGCTCAAGCTTCCTTTTTTTCTTTGGTGGATGAAGGCTCCACGGGGTGTGTGGGGCGGGTGGGGGGGGGGAGCCTAGCCACTGGTTTTGTCTGTAGTCACACACTTAGGTCACAAATTCACAGCAAGAAACTTCGAGGAGAACTCAGAGAGCCCAGTCAACTAATGTCAGGCTCTACACTCAGTGCCAGAGATGAAATAAGTAAAACTTAGTCTCTACTTAGTCTCTGCTGTCAAGGACTTCAGAGTGTACTTGAGGACACAGACATTGAAGCCAGGAATCCCCACAAGAGTGGGACTGTCCCGAAGTTTCAAGCACAGTACTGTGGGGACATAGAAGAAGAAAAGCCTTTATGAGGGGAGGTGGTGGCCCTTGGGTCACATTTTCCTTTTAGCAACAATGCTGTTTTTAAAAAATTACAATCTTTGCAACAATTCAAGCAGTAAGAGTCCAAAGAAAAAAGTAACAAAACACCTGAAGACCCACAACCCAGAAATTTCCCACAGAAAGTTTCAAAATGTGACTTTTTTGGAATGTTACAAGGAAACTCCTGCTAAAATGAAGGAATTCATGCAAAGAACCAGAGTACAAAGTGACAATGAGCCAGGTCTGCGTGGAATGTGGGGTACCTGCAAGGGGGTTGCCAAGTGGACAGATCACTATGTCAGTATAGGGCCCACCTGTTTCAGGGACCAATCCAGTGCCTGATGCCCTTCGTGGGAGGCTTCCTATAAATATGTAGGGCTTTTTGTTGGTTGGGCTTTTTTGTTTGTTTGTTTTTTGGTTTTTTTTGAGACAGAGTCTCACTTTATACCACAAGCTAGTCTTAAACTCAAGAGGATCTTCCTGCTTCAGTCTCCCAAGGACTGGGATTACAGGTGTGCACCACCACACCCAGCTCAAATATATATTTAAAGAAGAAAGGAGCCAGGCACTGATGACTTACACCTGTAATCCTAGCTACTCAGGAGCCAGAGATCAGGAGAATCGAGGTTCAAAGCCAGCCCAGGCAAATAGTTCTTGAGACCATATCTTGAAAATACTCAACACAAAAAAGGGCTGGCAGAGTGGCTCAAGCAGTAAGAGCACCTGCCCAGCAAGCATGAGACCCTGAGTTCAAACCCCCAGTACCACCAAAAATAAGAAAGAAAGTAACATAGGGGCCAGGCATGTGGTTCATGCCTGCAATCCTAGCTACTCAAGAGGCAGAGATCAGGAGGATTGTGGTTTGAAGCCAGCCCAAGCAAATAGTTTGAGAGATCCTGTCTCAAAAAAAGCCCATCACAAAAAAGGGCTGGTGGAGTGGCTCAAGATGTAGGTCCTGAGTTCAAACTCCCACCCATACCACAAAAAAAAAAAAAAAGTTCCACAGAGAAGGCAGGCAGAGAGCATGGAATGGAGAGGGAAGAAAGGCCAAATTAACTAAATGACACTGTCAATAACAGTAACACAGCAGCACCTACTTAATTAGCTCACACATATGTCAAGTCCTAAGCCAAGCGTTTTTCGTTATTGATCCAATTAATCTTCACAACTGCGTTACATAAGAACTATTGTGATTTTTACATCTAAGGAAGCACCTAAAAAGAGCAAATAACCTGCCACGATCCTCCAAGTGTAATTTAGAATTGAAACTAAATTTAGAGGCTGCTAAAGTGGACCTTCTGTCTCCTGGAAAATGATTTCTGAAAAGTTTCAATGTCACCAAAATAGCATGCAATAACCTTCCCCGCACTCTCTGCCATGCTGCAGCAAAGGGACTTTGCTCACCTGGGTATGTAAATTTGCTCTATTTAAAATCAATCTCAATATTGCATAATCACATGTCATCTTCAAACCCTAAGATGATTTAAAATGCTTTAAAAACCCTGAAAGAATCAAGTTTAAAATATACACCCCATTTCCCAGGAGTGCCTGGTTTTCTTCTGTTCTGAGGAATCATTTCAGACACCACTTGTTTTAATTTATTGGTTGGGTTAGCTTTGTGCCATAGGGAGGGCAAGGAACATGTGCAGGAGGAACATGGAAACCTGAAACATTGCCTGTACCCAGCAGAGGACCCCCCCCCCAAGGAGGTCCATCCTTCAAGAAAGGAGGGGAGGGGAAGAGCTGCAGTAGGGAGGGGATTGGTCTGCCTGCAGTAGGCTGGGTGCATAGAGAAGCGAGGGTCTGAAATGGTCACACACAGGGTGAAAGTACAGTAGCAGTCAGGGTTCTGAAGTTCGGTTCTATCTGCCCTCCCAGATGGCACCTTCCACCTTCCTGGCTCCCACACCACCCCTTATGAATTCCAGTGTTTCAGCACTGAACTGGGGTATAGCTCAATGGTAGAACACTTGCCTAGCATGCACAGGACCCTGGATTACAATGCCAGCACCACAAGGAAACTAAAGAAAACTTCTAATCCAGTGGCCCAGAATGCTGGCTCTGGCTCTGATCACTGCATGAGGGCTCTTGTGAGAGTTCTTACTCAGACCTGATCCAAAGAAGAGGTGGGCAGAGATCTACTTTCCAGACCTAGAACCAGCCACCATGGAGCCATCTGTTTCCTGCCAAGTCAGGGTCCTGGGAGGAGGGAGGGCAGTGAGGGTCTGGGATGGTCAGGTTCCCTGGAGAGCCACACAACCAGTCTGCAGCCCCGCTGGGGACCAGTAAGAGCAGAGCTCAGCTCAGGAACTGAGGACCCTGATGTTCACTGGGAAGAGATAGGAGAGAGACATGATGACAAGGGTTGCAATGTCCCTTCATCCACCTGGGGATCCACCTGCCTGTGGAAAGTATGTCAGGGAGACTCTTGCATACTTTCCATGGCCTTAGTGGCCTGTTCTTGTTGGACTCTCCCTGGTGTTTCTGGAGACCAGTAAGGGCAAGAGAGGAGGGGAGTTAGAAACAAATGTCTTCAACGCTTGGGACACCTCAGGTAGAGCTGGGAAGTGGGGGGGAGAGCAGCAGCCATCCTGCCTTTGAGATGGGTGCACGGTGACCAATGCTGGGATTGGCCAGCAACCAGGAGACCGGGGGTCCAGCCTTGAGGGAGCAGGTGCAAGAAAGGCCTCCAGCGGTCCTGTAATCCAGGTTCAGCTGCATTTTGGAGGTGAACCCCAAAGCAGAGGTTCTCAAAGTGTGAAACACAAATCAGCTCCATCAACATCACCTGGGAAATGTCAATTTTAAAAAGCTTGCCCCAGGCCAGGCATGGTAGTGGCTCCCTTAAATCCCAGCTCTGTGGGAGGTAAGGGTAGGAGAATTGAGGTCTGTGATGAGGTCAGCCATTGGCAAAAACACAAGATCCTAAAAAAAAAAAGAAAAAAAGGCTGGGGGTGTGGCTCAAGTGGTAGAACACTTGCCTAACAAGGCAAAGTCCTGTGTTCAAACCCCAGTACCACAATTACAATAAATAAATTAACCCCCCACCCACCCCCAAGCCCTCCACCCACAGAGATCTGCACTTTTAGTGCTCTTTAGACCTAAAAACCACTTTGATCCTGGAAGCCAATAAAACTCTAAATGTCTTGGAAACTCTGAGGGAACAGTCAAATCCCCCACTCCGTACCCCACTCAAATCACATGTGCCACTGACCACAGCACCTGGCAAGTCCAGGGAGCCAGGACTGAAGTTTAGGTTTTCTTCTGTCTATGAAGATCTGGGTAGTGTTTCCTGTGCCCCATGCTTCAGTAGCACAGTGGCGGTGGTGCTTCCTGTCACTGACTCTGTGTTTCCATTCTGCCAAAGTGGTTTGCTGTTTTTGTTCTGCTCTGGGGGTTGGAGGAAGCAGAGTTTCTCACAGAGCCTCTTGGCAGTTTCTCCCTCTGTACCCCTCATGTTTCCACCAGAAGACAGAGACCAGAGATCGTCCCCGAGTCACCTCACGTTGGGAGAGCCAGCACCCGGATGAGAGTTCAGTGGGCATTACAGCCACCTCAGGGGGAACCAAACCTGTTGCTTTTCATCCTTGAGTCAACTCAGCCTGGTCTTTCAGGGGAAGACACAAGGTAGGGAGTTTGTTGGGAGAAAGAAAGTTTTAGAAGGAAAGCTTAGAAGCTTTAGGTAAAGATGGTTGGTTGGTTGGTTTTTTCTTGTCATAGCCTTTGGTAAATAAAGATTTAAGAGGAATAAATTTTGTAAGTAAAAAGTGGTACATTCGGAGTGTTTGGAAGACATGAAGATTAGGAGGATTTCTGTCATTCTTACATCATCTATTTTAAAAAATGTTTTATGCAAAACGCAAACCAATTTGCCTTTTCTCCTGAGAGTCAGCAGCATAGGCAGAGCCTAGGAAAGTGGCAGACATGCCGTCTAGCTGATTGCGATCGAATGAAGGCTTGGATGCTGAAGCCAGAGCGAGCACCTCCAAGGTTTCCATACGATGATGGATGCCTCCCCCACCCTTTCAGCGATCACAAGGAGGACTTCGGAGCCTGGCACACTGCGGGTGACCCTCGGCAGCCTAGAAGGGTGAGTGATTTGGGGTGGTGGACTTTCCCTGATTTGAACAGAAGGCCCTGACTCAGTCCAAGGAGCTTCTAACTCGACAGTACTACTACCCCACCCAGCCAGACTCAGGTTCAAACTCTAGGCTCAGAGGCACTGTTCAGGGTTGCCAGGAGGAAAGAAAGGAGGTGCTGGGGGGTGAGGAAAACTGCTGGTTAGATTTCCTTCCTCTCAGAGACTCTGATCTCTGTCCCCAAGAATCCATCTTGGGTTCCACCATGATAAAAACAAAAGGCCCCATTTCCCAAGAATCTGTATTTAGATCCTAAAACCTTGCCATGAATGGAAATTATAATGTAATAAGGATATATCTTTAAAACATAAAATCTCATGGAACTAATCACAGATGTAAGTTTACCACTAATGCTTTCAGTCTCATACAAACAAAAATAAAAAGTCCATGGGGAGCTGAAATTTTAACAACAATAGCAGATATAAATTTCAGTGCTATGATAAAAATAGAACCCAATGATAATAAATTTTTAAATTGCTGTAATTTGGGGAAGTAAATGTTATTACCAGAGCAAACATGTCACTTGTAGATAAACATGAACATCGATAAGGAGTGAATCCATGAAGATTGTCAGGAGGCTGACCTGTTCCCCAGAACTAATTCTTTTTTAAAATTTATTTTTTACTTTGTAATTGCTAAGGAAAAATTGTGTATATTTATTGTATACAACACATTTTGAAGTATGCATACATTATAGAATGGCTAAAATTGAGCAAAGTAACATATGCATTGCTTCACGAACTATTTGTGTGTGTGAGTATGTTTGTGATGATAATATTTAAAACATTGTTCTCAACAATACTGTGTTATGTAATAGAGCTCATGAACTATTCATTCTGGTTTTGGGGGTTTTTTGTTTTGCTTTGTTTTGATTTTTGGTGGGACTAGGGTTTGAACTCAGAGCTTTGTGCTTGCAAAGCAGGCACCCTATCCCTTGAGCCACACCTCTAGTCCATTTTGCTCTGGTTATTTTGGAGATGGGGGTCTCATGGACTATTTGCCTGGGGTGGCCTCAAACCACTATCCTCTAAATCTCAGCCTCCCAAGTAGCTAGGATTACAGGTGTGAGCCATCAGTGCCTGGCTAAACTAGACCTTCTAACTGAAATTTTTTATTCTTTGATCAATATCTCTGCAATCCCTCCCACACAGCCTCTGGTAAACACCATTCTACTCTCTACTTTTTTTTTTTTTTTGTGGTACTGGGGGTTGAACTGTGCTTATTAGGCAGACACTCTACCACTTGAGCCACTCCGCCAGCCCCTACTCTATTTCTATTAGTACAACTTTTTTTTAGATTCCGTGTAAGAGAGGTAATGTGGTATTTGTTTTTCTGCGCTTGGCTTATTTCTCTTATTTCACATGTTGTCACAAGTGACAAGATTTTCTTCCTTTCTAAGGCTGAATAGTATTCACTATGTATATATGCCATATTTTCTTTATCCATTCATCTGCTGGACACTTAGTTTTTATGAATAAAGCTGCCATGAACGTGGCAGTATTGTAGAGCTCTCTCAATAAACATGGGAGTGTGAACATACTGATTTCATTTACTTGGAATAAATACCCACTACTGGGGTTAATGGATCACATGCTAGCTCTATTTTTGTTTTATTTTACTGTACTGGGGATTGAATCCAGGACCTCATTCATGCTAAGCATATACTTTACTGCTGAACTACATCCCCAGGCATGTTTTAAATTTTATTTTGAGACAGAAATTCACTAAGCTGCCCAGACTGGCCTCAAACTTGTGATCCTTTTTTTTTGCTGGTACTGGGGTTTTGAACTCAGGAACTCAGGGCCTCAAGCTTGCTAGGCAGGCACTCTACCACATGAGCCATGTCCCCAGCCCACTTGTGATCCTTTTGCCTCAACTTCCCCAGTGGATGAGGTTATAGGCTTGTGCCACTGCACCTGGCAATATTTTTTAATTTTTTAAAGAACTTCCATCTGGGCACTGGTGATTCACCCCTGTAATCCCAGCTACTTGGGAGACTGAGATCGGGAGGATCAAGGTTCGAGGGCAACCTGGGCAAGTAGTTCGTGAGACCCTGTCTCCAAAATAACCAGAGCAAAATGGACTGGAAGTGTGACTCAAGCAACTGCTTTGCAAGCATGAAATTGAGTTCAAATCCCAGTCCCACCAAAAAAGAAAAGAAAAATTGGATTAATAAGCCTAGAACTAAGGAGGACAAAAACCTTTCCTGGTAGGTAACCTGGTCTCTAATATTTTGGAATGGCCGGCCAGTGACTGATTCCTAATTCCTGCTGTAATTCCATTGGCTGCTTCCTGTTCTAGTAGGCATAGCTGCCTTTGGGTTGCAATCATCTCAGTGCATTTCAACACCCAAGCAGAGCAGTAACTCCAGCCCTGCCAGGGAATTGCAAGGTGGCTCAGAGCTTGCATTGGTTAAATTCCACACAACAATTGAGTGTTGCTTGGAGACCAGCTCCACAAGCTGGAGGTTATTCAAGTCCATGCAAGCTGGACTCTGTCACCGAGCCACTCCCTAATGGTAAGCTGAGTAATTCTTTCCTCCAAGCAAGCCAGGAAGCCCAGGAGAGTAAAGAGGGGAGGCAGGGCCAGATGGATTTGACTTGGCAAGTTTGGAGGACAGCGTGGTACAACAGGAGGAGAAGGCTCTCTGGGCCCAAAGAGACCTAGACTCACATCCCATCTCTGCACCTTCCTGCCTGTGTAATCTTAACTTTACATTTCTGAGTCTAAATCTTGGGCTCCTTGGCCACAAAGTGAGATAGGATTATTGTTATTATTATTTCTTTTTTTTTTTTTTTGGTGGTACTGAGGTTTGAACTTTAGGGTCTCATATTTGCTAGGTAGACGCTTTACCACGTTAGCCACTCTACTAATCCAACAAGATAGGATTATTGTGGAGATTCAATAAATTCCACATGCAAACCCCCAGCACCTGATAGATACTCAAAAGAGAGATTACCTTTCTCCCTCATGCAAGTCCCTCCCTTCCATGAAGTCAACTGCAAAGATGACTCTCTCTTTCACCACTTGGCCCATTCCACCTAGCTTCCTTCATGGGACTCCCATTCCAAATCCCTGGGCTCTAACTCCTAAAGGTCTTCTCCAATCCCTTCCCCTCCCATCTTATGGCCACCTGGGTCAAGGCACTTGATTTTCCTCCTAGAAACAAAGACCAGAGCAGCAGTGTCTTCTCTGGTTTTGCCGGACTCCTGGCTGTCCTCCTGCTCGTCACAGCCTTTTGCATCCTGTGGAACTGGAATAAACGGAAAAAGCGTGAGTCCCTTGTTTGTCCCATGTTGAGCTATGTCTCATAGTAGGCTCAATCCTCCAGCCTGGCATTTGAAGCCCATTCATTTTCCAATGACAAACTATTATACTGGAGGGTCCTCTTGCTCTGTCTTTACCTGATCCACTGGTCCCAAGGTCTGGCTGCAGTGCCACTGGGAAGATAGGGCCCTAGTGCCCCTGTTCCCAGTTTCCTCTTCCTGCTTCTGCACCCCCACACCGCCGTGTCCCCTATTCTTCTATCTCAAGTCTGAAAATATGTATTTTTATGATAAGGATGGGGACTGTTTCTTGCCCCCAAAACTCCCCACATTCTGTGCACTGACCCCCATCAATCATGACTACCATCTCTCTCATTGCCTTCCAGGGCAAGTTCCTTACCTCCAAGTTAATGTCATGCCTTCGCTGACTCTGCCTCGACCCAGACAACGGGCCAAAAACATTTATGACCTTTTGCCTCGGCAGCAAGAAGAGATGGGTAGGTTTCTCCTAATACACGGAGTCCTGATGCTCTGAACTTCTGCTGCCAGAATGCACCTCTCACAGCTGAGAGCAACTTTCTCTAAGCTTCCAGACTGTTCTTCCCCACCGACAGTGCTGAGGGGAATGAGGTGGATAGGCCGTCACTGCACCTCCAGTGGAAACCTGGAGAGCTTTGAAAGGGAGCAGAGGGCTATTGGGCTTGGGTTTTGGTTTTTCTTGTTGCTAAGACAGCAGAGGAAAGCTAAGTATGTCCAAGCATGGGGAAGACATGAATGAGAAGACCATGATGCCAGTATTACATGCAAGGGACAGGGGAGTCCTCCACAGAAGTTTCTGAGGAGTCTTCTAGATCTCAGAGCACATCACCCATGTAGCTCTGACCCCCACCACCACCACAGAACACCAGGCCCTAGGCTAGAAATTCCAGGCACCATGCAAACCCAGTTCACCCACCATACAGGCTTGTTCAGGCTGAAGCACTCCGAGACTGGATAACCATTTTCATTTTCTGTCCTTCCAGGGAGTCATCAGTCAAGGAGTAGCCGTGCTTTCAGTACTGAGAGCCTCCTCTCCAGAAATTCTGACAACCCTGAGCGTGCGGTAAGAGTCAAGTGAAAAGATCAGGTCTCTGGCAGGAGAACTGAGGGGAATGAGTTCTAAGTCTCAGATCTGGTTTCACAGCTGATAAACAATGTGTCCTTTAGCATATGTCCTGTGGTCCTATTAATAAATTGGACCTTCCTACTGCCCAAAGAGAAAAATTAAGAATCTAATTTAGATTAAGAAAAATCAAGAAAGACAAGAGCAAGTGCTTGGGGTGTTAAGAAAGGAACAGGTATTCAAGTACATGATGTTAGAACTGAAATTGATTGTTTTCAAAAAGATGGGTTAAGTGCTTATCTAAATGTGTTGTTCCCTTCAAAGTAATCCCTTCAGGAGGGTGCACAAATATTCCAGTAACGCTGTTGGTGCTCAAAACACACTTAAAATTTGGCTTTGGAAATTACTTGTAGGGCCTGTGTTCTCAGTTTTCCTCAATAGCAGAGATTTCCATGAGTCATTCAGCAACCCAAACTGGCGTAGAAAGTGTGTGATTGAATCAGGGTGTCTTAGTCAATTTTGGGTAATTGTAATGAACAGATATTTATTTGACTCAGCATTCTGGAGGCTGGGAAGTTCAAGCTCAAGGGGGCTGCATCTGATGAGGGTCTTCTTACTGCGTTAAAACTTGGCAAAATACATCACATGGCAAGAGAGCCAGAGAGAGGAGGGGACTGAACTCATCCTTTTATCAGGATCCCACTCCTGCAATAACAGCTTTAATCTCCTCCTAAATGTCTCACTCAATACTATTGCAAGGGGATTAAAATTCCAACACATGAATTTTGGGAGATTCATTCAAACCATAATGGGGGGAGGGGGTTCGAAAACCCCTGAGGTCACAAGAGAAAGGTTACAACGAACAGCAATAATTCTGTGTGCTCATGATCTGACTCTGAAGGCATCTCCCAAGGAGATGTCCAACCACAGCTTGGGGCAGAGGCACCAGGGACAGTAGAGGGACAACCCTGAAGATCAGGGTAATGGTTTTCATAGACACACTGTTTGTCAGTCCCTCTGGCTTTCTAGTCATCCTTGGCAAAGGGTGACATTACCAGAAATGGAAATGCCGTTGTTACTCAGCCTCTTGTTACCCAGAGGTTCAGGTTCAATTACCAGGCAGCTACATCACTTCCGACCTTAACTTCCTGCTCCTCCTCCTCCCAATTGTTGGGCTGTGCTCCTGCCAGTAAGACTTCCTGGAGTAGCAAACCCGAGTAGCTGAGGAAGGGCCTAGGGGAGGAAACTCCAGTACCAAAGCTAGTTTCAGGGCTGGAATGGTCCCTCTGGGGATTTTGCATTTAGAGCTCAGGTCCCAAACTGTCTAAGCCAATAAACATGTTAAGTTTGCACTAAAGTGTTCAAAGAACACTCTCAGTCAGTTCCCAACTTTTTTAAAATTGATGACATTTCACGTTGAAAGTCCAGGTGCTCAGTTTTTCTTGAAAACTCAGAAATTCTGGAAACATTAGACCAGCATCCCTAACAAGCAATCATTAGCTGAGTGTATGTCTCAGTTGTCAGTTTAATAATAACAGCAAGTATTTTTTAGTGTTTTCTAAACACTTCCTATGTAGCAGTTCATTTGCCCCTTGCAACCTTATGCGGTAGACATCACAATAATCTTCATTTTGTAAAGCAGGAAGTGGAGACACAGAGAGATTAGATGTAACACTCAGACTCCCTCAGTGCAAAGTGTTAAGGCTGGGATTTGCATCTTCAGTCTGACTCGAACCTCTGTCTTTTGCACTGTGCTATGTACCTCTCGATGTGCTCTCTCCAGTGTATTATACTTCTCTCCCACTCCCAGTAAACCCCCACCCTGTGGCTACAACCTACTTGCAACTTGCTATCATGTTTCTGTGATTGTTTTTCTTGAACTCAGCCCACTTCTGTCAGCCACTTATACCTACCTGGTATCCAGAGCCTTGAGATCTGAGCCCTTCATTTACAGCTTTGCTCCAGGGTTTTGGGATGCGGCTTAAGTGGTAGAGTTTTGCTTCAAGGAGAAGGACTGGATGAAGCATCTATGATAGCAGTACAGAGCAGGGAAGAAGAAAGGCTCTGCCCCTATTTCTTCTTCCATCCTATCACTTTCTCTTCTTCCTCACAGCTTTCCCAAGCAGATGACACCAGCCAGAGGCATCGAGCCCATATCCACACTGTGGGGTACACAGTGGGCATCTATGACAATGCTACAGTGCCCCAGATGGGTGGGCACCTTGCTCCCTCAGCACATTACATCAGTGGCAGCACTTCCAGGGACAGCTCAAGCATTTCTTCAGTGGAGTCAAATGATTATGTCAATGTCCCCACAGTGGAAGGCCTTGCCGAGACTCTAAATTCTACCAACGGCCCACCCAAAAATCTCTTTGTTCTTCCAAGAGCCCAGGAGCTTACTGAGGAAAGGCCTGCAGTCTGTGAGGATGCCAGTGACTGCACTAGTTTTTGGGTCCCAGGAACACAGGGCAGTGATCCACTCAGTGATGAGGAGGATTCTCCTCAGACCTCAAATGACTACATCAATGTGACTGGTTTGGAACTTGGGGACATCCAGGAGGAACAGCCCAGGGTGGCTTTTCAGGGCTGCAGAGATTATGAAAATATCCCACCAGCAAATCCCAATGGAAGCCAGCAGCAGGCTGAGGAAGAAGTGACATCTTCAAACACAGAGGACAGGACAGATGGTTCAGTGACCCAAATCTCATCTGTCACGAGGAAGTCCCTGTCTTCAGGATATTACATGGCCTTTCAGCCATCCATACAGAATGAGAACAGTCAGATGTCACATGAAGAAGAAATGTCGGATGAAGACTCTAATGACTACGAGAATGTGCTAGTTGCTGAGTTAGGAGAGGGGGACAGGGAGCAGGAGCCTGGAACTTGGTGCCCTCCTGATGAACAAATATCAAGATACCCTGCTGGGACGCCACATGGGGTGCTCTATCCTGCTGAGTTCTTAGCCAATACAGAATCTAAGGAAGGCCCTTGAGCATCCCAGTAGACCAGTGGATTCACAGGTGAGGCTAAGAAGAGGCCGAGAGGAATAGGGAGCAAAGCGATTGTCGAAAAGCTAAGGTTTGGGAAATCCAGAAAGGAATTCTTCTCAAGCGGGGTACTGTTATCTCTCAGACCAACTGAAGAATGTTTGCTGAAACTGCCTTCCTGAATGAACTCTTAGGAAAGAGAAAACCAGATAGTACTTGGTGTACAGTGAAAGTATGACTAGTCTAAAATAATTACTGTCACTCATACCAGCTGCAAAGCAAAAGTATAAATTATCTTGTAACCCAGGCAAAAAGAAAGGAAGATGCTGGGGTAGGGTAGGCAAGTTCCATTTCAAAAAGAATGTCCAACCAAATAGCAGTGAAGATGCAGAACAATAGGAACTCTGTCACTGCTGATGTGACTTGGTACTTTCTTACATGTACACACTTACTTACATGTTCCACTATGAGGAATTGACCCACGCAAACACCAAACTCACGCTCACACAAAAACCGCTGCGTATACCACTTTCACCATAATTGCTCCAAACTAGAAATAACCCAGGTGTGCTTCACCCGATGAATGGATAATGGATTGCAGGTATGTATTCCACGAGTTTATCCATACTCAGCCGTAAACAGGAATAAACTATTGGTTCACACAACATTGTGGACAAATCTTAGTTGCATTGGGTTAAGTGAAAGCTTAGACCTAAACAATTACACACCCAAACGTGTACAATTCCATTCATAGAACATTCCGGAAAAAGCAAAATTATAGGAATGGGAAATAGGCTGCCAGGTGTAAGGAAAGGAGAAGAGTTGTCTCCAAGAGACTGCACAGCAGAATCTTCAGGATGGTGGAGCTGCCCTGTGGCAGTACTGTGGTGGTGGATACAGGATTGTATACATTGTCAATCCAGAAAGAGCTGCACACCACCAAGAGGAATATTTACTTACGTGAATTTTAAAAAATTAGCCAGGCTGTCAGAGGAACCCACAGTGTAACAGTGTAACAAATGAATCTGTGACGTAACCTAACTGAGGGAGGGGGGAGGAACTGACCTTGACTTTGACAAACAGTGTTTTGACTTGAAACTGTAGGATAAAGACACAAAGGGCTATACACACACACTACACTATAGTTGGTCATTTTCTCAGGAAGTGTGGGTTTGCAATTCTGAACCTACTTAAATGTGTACTAGAGTTATACAAATAAGTAACTCTATTATAGACAAGAAAAGGTAAATTTCCCACTGGCAAACAAAGACATAAGGAGGAAAAGCTAGAATAAACTCTGGGAGGCTGGATTAGAGTTGGAGATACAGTTTGAGCTCATGTTTTATGTGTGTGTGTGTGTGTGTATAATTGTGTATGTACAAAGGCTAGTGCACACACGTTTCCTAGTTGTGTATACTAAGAGGACCTAGAAGCAATGGCACACCAGAAACACTGAGCACGTTTAGCTTTCAGATATTGGTTTCTAAATGCTGTTCTCCAATAAAAGTAACCAAACTTCTTGGAGAAATGCTTGTGCAAGGGCTGGGGCAGGGAAAATACAAGAAAAGCTCGTGTGTCTTATAGAAAAGAAGAGAGAGAGAAAAGAGTTGTCCAAAGGAACCAACTGAAAAGCCTCCCAAAGCAAAGCTAGAACAATTTGAGCAATAAAAACAAATAATTGTAATATTGATTAATAATCCAAAGAATAAAATAAATACCCATGAGTCCACACCAAGTTAAAATGGAGAAAAATGATGCATTTTAATTACAGATGAATTCCAAGAAATATAGTAGACAGAGGAGGAGTCAGATGTGGTGGAACATTCCTGTAATCCCAGGAATTGAGGCAGGAGGATTGTGAGCTCAAGGACAGCCCGGGGTATGGAGGGAGACCCTGTCTCAAACCGCCCCGCCCCCCCCGCCCCCGCCCCAGCAAAAGAAAGGAAGAATGAGGGAAATAGAAAATTATCATTGAGATACAACAGAATAATTGCTACAGGCAAATCCACTGAAGAATGGTAAAATTAGTTAAGTAACACTTTAAGGAGAAATAAAACAGTTGCACAGCTTAAAGAATCTCCCCCAGACGTTTATTCCTTGCCATGCTGTTTTTATCACATGTCCACAAATTATTTGATTCTTCCCATGGAGCTTAATTCCCCTCTTCTCCAGTATGAATTAGATTTATGACTCCTCGAATGGACAGACTATCTAAAGGGGAAAATAATAAATTTACTGTGGAGAAACATGGTAGACGTCACCTTAACCATGTGATGAAGGTCAACTAGTCAGTAACAAGTCAAATTGCTATTTTGTGCCCCTTATACTACCCAAAAATCCATAACCCAAGTCTTAGCAGAAAATCTAAATTGAATGATTTTGCACAAATACCTGACCAAAACTCTTAAAAGTGTCAAGGTCATGAAAGACAAGGAAAGACCTAGAAACTATCAGAAATCGGAGGAGAGGAGGGGAGACATGATGACCAAATGCAATGTGATGCCTTGATTGCATCCTGAAACAGAAAACAGGCCTTATTGGAAAAACTGATGAAATTCTAAAATGTCCATATTTTGGTTAGTAACACTGTTAATTTCTTCATTTTTATAACTGTACCATGGTCACATAAGATGTCAACATTAGGAGAAGGAAGGATACACAGGAACTCTGAACTATTCTTGCAACTCTTCTGTAAACCTAAAATCGTTTCAAAATAAAAATAATCTTAAAGCACGGGAAAAGGTAAAAGTGAAGACATCTGGGGTCATCCCACTTAAATATGTGTGAGCCATTCTGTGTCTTTGTCCCTTTTGCAGAATGGATGTAACATAAAGCACTCTTTAATGTGATGTGCCTAATATTTTCTGCTTTGTTTTGTTAACACCTGCCCAATCTTCCCTATCAACCTGTAATCACTTTGTCTACTGAAAAATATCTTTAATTCCTATGTGTTCCTTCTGGCTTTTAGCACAAGGCTCAAGATAAAGACAGATTAATGATAATTGAGATTGATGATATGGTTCAGTGTTCTTCCTTATGTCACAAAATATTGAGTGAGGTTTGTTTTTGTTGTTCAGACCTAAAGTTGAGTTCTTAAGACATAAAATATCCTACATGCTGAATTCGGAGCACTACTTACTGTTAGAAGTCAGTCAACCACCTCAGGGCTTACTGAGAGGGGAAGTCTTACCTTACCGCAAACTGCTCTCTACCATACAATGTCCCTGTGCCACATCAGAAGACTGAGAGGTGACCAAGGCCAGCGAGGAGAAGGGTCTTCCTCTTTTATTGCCCCATCCCTGGGAGGTGGTAACCATGTCTATCTGCCCCAGGAAGAGAAGGAAGGAAGGTGCTGCCAGAACCGAGGCTAGGAAGCAGCTGGCCACCCCCTGTTGGACATACCAATGATGGGTGTGTGACAGGGGAAGGGGACTGGGCCTGAGCTGTCTTATTGGCACCTCTTAAGCAGGGTGCAGGGCAAGGGGCCCCTAGCATGAAATTGTGAGCTGCAGACCATCTGAGGCAGCCTTGCATGTACATGCCCAGGTGGATGACAGGAGGTTATTGCAGACGTCTAGTGACTATATTATAGGTAGATTTTTTTTCAGAGCTCCCAGATTCACCAAAAAATAAGTATTTGGTTTATGTCCCTGGTTCATGGCAAAAGTGAAGGTGGCAACCTGTGACTTGTGATGGTGTCTGAATTGGGCTACACTTGTGGGACTGAGTTCCTAACTTGTGGAGTCTGTGTCAACTCCAGAATTGACTTGAATTGTAGGACACCCAAATGGTGCTTGGAGAGTTGGAGCATTGGCTGGTGTGGGGGGAAAAAAAAACCCAAACCAAATGTTTAGTGTCAAAAGTGTCATGAACTAAAACAAATCATTACCCCACAAGTGGCCAGCATTTAAATTCATGCCACGCAGACAGTACATTGACAGTCTGGTTCTGGTGGCCAGTTAGTTTAGCCAGGGCAGCTAGAAGCACAGAGAAAGGACAGAAACCTGTTGTCAGGGAAGAAGAGGCTCACATTCACACCAGGTGTGAGAATGAAGCTTGAATGGAAAGAATGAAATGTCACAAACGCTAGCCTGAGAGGACACTCATGACTGAGAATTTTCACAGTGGAATAAAACTGGCTTGTTATCATATTTTAATTCTTTCCCTTTATTGTTTCGTTGTCCAGCATTTGTTGCCAGGAAATTTTGAGTAATTGGTGCATCTCATATGCTTGATAATGTTAACTATGAGGAAATTGTTTCAAGATTGGGACAAAACGAAAGACAGATATAAAGATAATCAATCCATTGTGATTCTATAACTATGCGGTGAATTAATCATTCAAACTTGTAGTTATTAATGGGATCTTCATTCAGAATAGTGCATAATATAAAACACAGAGATTTGCTAAGTCTGTCCTTCCTTCTAAAAGATCCCAAGTCTCAGTCTAAGGATTCAGCTCAGTGACAGTGAACTTGCCAGCATACAAAGGCTCCCCTCAGGACTGCAGGAAAAAAGTCTTGCTATCTCTCTGGCACTTACTTGTACTTCCTGACACTGCCTTGGTATCATGGGACTTAATCGTCATTTCTGGATTTCCTGTGGTCTCAGGGCTTGTACTAACTTGAAAATACTTCCAGAAACTTTGGATCAGTCAGCCCATAACCTGATCCCCTGGAGTTACAAGAACATAGAAATAAACTGGCACCAGAGGCTCACTCCTATAATCCTAGCTACTCAGGAGGCAGAGATCGGGAGGATTGAGTTTTGAGGCCAGCAAATAGTTCTTGAGACCCTATCTCAAAAATACCCAACACAAAAAAGGGCTGTAAGAGTGACTCAAGTGGTAGAGTACTTGCCTAGCAAGCTTGAGGCCCTGAGTTCAAACCCCAGTACTACCAAAAAAAGAATAAGAGATAAACTATAGACTGCCTTCTTTTCCCTGTTATCAACCATTCCCTTCAGCATCCCCAACTCCAGAGTGGGGAGGTTAGACATCCACTTCTACCTGGAAGGATTAGGATCATTTCAGAAGAATATGACAACACAACACGGCCAGAACTTTAGCCTGTTCCTCTGTCTCAGAATCTCCCTGTGGAGCACCTGAGGCCCTTCACAAGAGCGCAGATGCCCACAGCACCAGCTTCCCCGACATGCAAACTTGCTTTAATGTTCTGCTCTCACCATCTTGAAATTCTTTTTCTTTTTTTGGCGGCTCTGGGATTTGAACTCAGGGCTTCACACTTGCTAGACAGGCTTGAGCCACTCCACCAGTCCTTTTTGTGATGGGTTTTTTGAGATAGAGTCTCTCAAGCTATTTGCCTGAAGCTGGCTTCGAACCGCAATCCTCCTGATCTCTGCCTCCTGAGTAGCTAGGATTACAGGTGTGAACCACCACCAGCGCCAGGCTTGAAATTCTTAACTTTGAAAGAAATTCTTATCTTTGAATTTGTGTTTTGCAAATGGAGCAACAGAGAACTCTTGTAAGAAGAGAAGACACGTGCAATATACCTGTGCACTGCTCATGGCCTCCCATTCACAAATAACTTTTGCAATGCCCATGAGTGATGGACTTTGATGGACCCACAATCTGTGGAAGTTCAGCAAGATTCAGTGTGAGTACAAAGTAAGCAGCTGTGTCAACAACCAAGTAGGCAGGGTCCCTAAAAGTCCCCAGAGGCCATGCTTGCAGTTCTTTGAACACAGAAAGAAGGCAATGTTGTCCTAAGGCACACAAACGACCAAGGACACTTACGATACCCTTTCTTACTTGAGTTACTTCCCGGTATTAGTCAACCACTTATACTGAACCAGCACTAGATAAGGTACCTGATGCTCACTCCCCCATATGACATTTTGGCCATAGGTGCGTGGCCAAAATGATTTGTTTTTGCCCTTATATTGTATCTATGGTTCTCAAACTTTAATGTTTATTAGAATCGCCTGGAGGGCTTGTTAAAATAAAGTTTTTGTGGTCCAGTAGGCCTGAGATTGGCCCTAAGAATTTGCATTTCTAACAAGATTCCAGGTGTTGCTGAATCCCTACTTATTGGGCTAATCGGAAGTTGCAGTCTTTTGTGGGATGTTATGGTTTGAATGGGAGATGATCCCTAAGAACCCATGTGTTGAACGCCTGTTTCCCAGCTGGTGGCACTATTTTGGGAAGTTTTGGAAACTTGAGGAGGTGGGACCTAGCTGGAGAAAGTAGGTCAATGTGGACATAGGTTTGCAGGTTGTACCGTCCCTTCCTCACTCCCTGCCTCCTGTTCACCTCGAGGTGAAGAGCCTCATGCTCCACCTGCTCCAACCGCCATGATCTTCTTCCTCGTCCTGGACCCAGAATCAACAGAGCCAGGACTACAGAATGAAATCTCTGAAACCATGAGCCAAAATAAAGCTTTCCTCCTTTAAGTTGTTCTCTCAGATTTTGTCACAGCAATGAGAAAAGTGACCCACAGGGGTCAACTTTTGTTTTACAGAATCCCCATGTCAGTGGTACGTCCACCATCAGCCCAGGTTACTGCTTGCTGCTTCAGTCTGC